GTTTGCATCAAGCTTGATCTCGCTATGTTGGGTTCCAAGGGAGTTTGTGTATTGGGCCTGTTGGTCCGTGCTGTTGTTGGACAGGATGGTAGGTGTTTGTGCAACTTGAAACTGATTGAGAATGGGCTAATTGAGAGGAATGTTAGCTGCCACGGCGAGTGGGACTAACTTTACGCTGACGGCGGATGGCATGTCGTACCTTTTCCATGTAGATACACAGTCTGGGGATCTCAGATCAGATCATTTTGGAGGACCTGCAACAGACTTTACTCCTCCAGCTCGCATCTCCTCCAGCGGATGGGTTGCTGGAGTCGGCAATGCTCGTCGCGAGTTTCCTGATATTGGTCGTGGCGACTTTCGCTTGCCTGCTATCCATATTCAGCATGCGGATGGCGACACTGTAACGGCTCTCCGGTACCAGTCTTACGATATCTCACAAGGCAAACCTACATTGCCCGGGCTGCCGGCCACTTATGGAGAAGCTGGCGATGTTACTACCGTGACCGTACATCTATACGACAATGTGTCAGATGTCTCGGCCGCACTTTTGTATTCGATTTTCCCAAAGTACAATGCTATTGCACGTAGCTTTACCATTATGAACAATGGAACTGCAAACATCTCGATTGAGAGGGCAGCGAGCTTCAGCACCGACTTTCCCAATGTCGAGCTGGAGATGATTGAGCCTCATGGCGACTGGTCTCATGAGTTCCAGACGGTACGGAGACCGATTGACTATGGCGAGACTACGTAAGTATTTTCAGAGTGACTAAGACTTTTGGCTGATGGAGAGTAGATTCCGGAGCACTGCTGGCTACGCATCGCATTTGCACAACCCTTTCTTCTCACTTGTATCGCCGACTACCACCGAGTCGACTGGAGAAGCATGGGGATTCAGCTTGATTTGGACTGGTAGCTTCGCCGCGACCGCTCAGCGCTTCTCCAACGGTTACGTACGTGTGCTTATGGGCCTCAATTCAATCCATGCAAGCATTCCAGTTGGACCGGGCGAGACTTTCCAGTCGCCCGAGGCTGTTGGTGTTTACTCGTCAGAAGGTGTAGGAGGCATGTCGCGGTCTTTCCACGACCTCTACCGTAACCATCTCTCCCGTTCCAAGTTTACGAACCAGACGCGGCCGATTCTTCTCAACTCATGGGAAGGCTTACAGTTTGATATCAACGAGACTTCGCTCGTAAGTCTTGCTGGTGAGGCAGAACAGCTCGGCATCGAACTCTTTGTCATGGACGATGGTTGGTTTGGTACCAACTATCCGCGTAACAACGACTCGCTCGGTCTTGGTGACTGGACACCCAACCCGGCCAAGTTTCCCAACGGTCTCGGTCCATATGTTGGCCAAGTAACCGACTACAAGGTGCTGAACGAGTCAAAATCCATGCAGTTTGGTATCTGGGTTGAGCCGGAAATGGTAAACCCCAACTCGACACTGTACCAGGAGCATCCGGACTGGGTCCTATCCGCTGGAAAGCATCAGAGGAGCCTAACACGCAGCCAACTAGTCCTAAATGTCGGACTGCCAGAAGTACAAGACTTCATTATCAACGCCGTTTCCAACATCCTCGACTCAGGAAACATTACCTACGTCAAGTGGGATAACAACCGCGGAATGCACGAAATGTCGCACCCATCCGACGACTATAAGTACATCCTGGGCCTCTACCGCGTCATTGACAACCTCACCACCAGCTATCCCGACGTTCTCTTCGAAGGCTGCGCCTCAGGCGGTGGCCGTTTCGACCCGGGTCTCCTCCACTACTGGCCTCAATCCTGGACCTCGGACAACACGGACGGCTCCGACCGCCTCACCATTCAAATGGGCACATCCCTCGTGTACCCACCCTCCGCAATGGGCTGCCACATCTCCGCCGTCCCCAACCACCTCACCAACCGCAACATCAGCTTCGAATACCGCGGCCACGTGGCTATGATGTGCGGTTCCTTCGGCCTCGAACTCAACCCCTCTGAACTCTCTGCCGAAGAAGCCTCCGCCGTCCCCGCCATCATGGCCGCCGCTAAAGAGGTAAACCCCATCGTCATCTCCGGCGACTTCTACCGCCTCGCGCACCCCGCGCAGTCGAATTGGCCCGCAGTCCAGTTTGTGAGCCCGGATGGCGCGAGGAGCGTCGTCTTTGCGTTCCAGCAAACTATGAAGATTAAACCCGCTGCTCCCCCTGTTAGACTGCAGGGTCTGGATCCCAAGGCGAGATATAGGAATGATTTGGATAACGGGACGTATAGTGGGGCGACGTATATGAATGGCGGCATTAATGTGAGGTGGGACCCAATGGATTATCAGAGTAAGTTGATTTGGTTGGAGAGGGTGTGATGGGGAGTAGTGGAGGAATAGATGTATTTATGTGTTAATGAATATATGGATCATATTACTGCGTGTTGTTCAGTACATGTGGGGTAAGCGTATGCTTTGTCGTTTAAACAGTAGTGCGCTAGTAGTACTAGTGGTGAGACTAAATGCATAGCTAGATGGAAGCGTTTGAGTTTGACATAAGCACTAGAAGGACTACAAATATGCAAATGAACAAGGATAAGACAGAAGCATAGATATATCACATCAAGTATGAGAAGCGAAAAAGGTTGAGTTGGGCACTCGATGCCATTGAGATATATACAATTATAAAACGAAGATGTACAAGAAAGAATTAAGAGATAGCTGGCACCGGCCTCTGACCGACACCTTAGTCGCTTTTTTCCTTTTCCAAGAAAGTGCCTGAGTCGCTTAGCAAGAAGCGCCAGCAGGAACATTGAGGCAGCTGGAGCTCTTCTTTCCACCGGTAATGCTAACACCGGACCAGTTCCAGCCGGAGCAGCTTCCCGTTCCGCAAAGCACGTAGATCTCGGTACCGGAGCTGGTAACGGTACCCGCAACGTTCTTGAGCGTAACACCGGTGATCGGGACGCCAGTGGTGGGCTTTCCAGTTGGGCCGCCGTTAAGGTAGTCCTGCTCGATGACGATGCCGTACTTGGCAATGTTCTTGAGGGTAATGTTCTCGTAGGTGATGTCGGAGACGGAGCCAGTGGCGCCGGAAATGGTCTTGATGCGGACGCCGTTGTCCGAGTTGGCAATGGTGGTGCCGCTGACGACGACGCCCTTGACGGTGTTGTCTTTGCGGCCGCCGACGGAGCCGATGGAGACGCCATGGCCGCCGGAGCACTGGCAGTTTGTGACTTTGATGTTGCTGCCGGAGTTGATGGCGACGCAGTCATCTTGGTTCTTGATGTTGGCGTTGGAGATGGTGATGCCGCTGGAGCTGCCGACGTCGAAGGCATCGGTGTTGTGGCCGCCGGCTGAGTCGCCTGCGCTGTTGTCGATAGTGATATGATCAAGAGTCAAGTCGGTGGCACCGTTGATGGAGAAGGCCTGAACGGGAGTGTTCTTGACGTTGAGTCCGCTGATTGAGGATGTGGTCAGGGAGTGAGCGTAGAAGAACTGGACCGATTAGTCAGACTACGGTTCAGAGTAGTTTCAGTGAACTCATCGCTTACCTTGGGCTTGGTCTTGCCTCCGTTAGATCCCTTTCCATCCCACCACTTTTGACCAGCGCAATCAATGGTGTGGCCGGCGGCACCCACCACCTTGATGTTGGTTCCGGAGACGGAGATGAGAGGACCTGCCCACTCCTTGTATCCAAAGGTCGTTGTGCCCTGGAAGGTGACAGTGGTACCGGACTTCAAGCCCGTGAGGTCCAGGGTGGTACCAGCAGGAACAGTCATGCCGCTGATGACAATATCAGTGCAAGAAGCCTTGTTCTTGATAGCTGTCGCAGCATCGGTGAAAGTGCATCCAGCGCGGGCATCAAGACCTGATGGCGCGGCAGAGACGAGCGCACCAGCGCTCAGAAGCATCGAAGTAAGAGCATATGCGACCATTGTGCTAGCTGTCGAAAAACGAGAACTCAGAACTGAATATGTAGTTATGGAATCAAAAGAACAAGGGAAGGAGTGTGTTAATTGATGCTGGAAATAGGGAGGCAACGCTACAGTACTTATACAAGGAATCCAAACATGAGGGGGCAGTGGAGACTGGCTTCCCCCACAGGTCTCGTTAAGCTAAGTCTAGCCCAAGAATCTCGAAGGCTTGTCGCTCTAGGCAATGCTTGACATTACGCTAGGCCACGTTTTGGATGGACATGAGTAGTAAAGAAGCGGAATGACAAGCATTGGAGGGTTCACCTGATCGATTTCTCCGCTTCGCGGAATACTCGTAGATTATATCTTCGTATTCTGGAAGATTTCGTTCTTGAGCGTATATCGTTTTGTGTCCTCTGCACTGCGTCAGCCATCAGCGCTGCAAACCGTTCAGCGGAGCTTCAAATATCTCATCTCAGATTTGCAAAACAAACCGGCAGTGAGTATGCCAACCCATGCTGAAACGAAATTACAGCGGCATGGTGAAACATATTTGGTCAAAATCGGGACGTAGGAGCGTGGCGCTGCTGTGGCGTAACGCCCTAGTCGGCACGTGGGTGCCGAACACGGGTTGCGTGTTTACAATGCCGAGTACGACCGATTGATGGAACAACTAGCTTAATCTATATGAAGGGGGAGGGAGTGAGAGAGGGGCCGCTGAGCCCTAAGAACCTTAAGCGGATGCCATCAGACATCACGACACAGCGGGTTATAGCAGTTACCGAAGTTCCGGTAGGGATCGCAGCATTACAAAGTCGTTAGTATTGCCTATTTCTATGATTAGGAATATATCGCTCACTCTTGTAGTGCCTAATTCTCGCATTTGTTAATATGTGTTTAAATTGAAACCCATTAGCGCCATCCAAAGTGGCGCGCCACGCGGCCCGACTGTCGATTGGTGCGTTCTTCGGCATATTAGACATCACAGCATCAAATGCTCCCACCTTGAGCAATTTGATTTTTGACGTGTACGGCCAGTCCTGGATTACATACTGTGACACTGTTCGAAAATGGGTTGACATTTCGGACAAAAAAGATACTGGTGTAGTACTAAACCATCCAGGAATAAGCACCATGCGACCCAGTTTCGCAGTAGTGCTCCGCTATCACACCCACCTTCGCTTTCATTCGCGCAATTACTCCCGCGTCAGAAAATGAACACAGCATGAATGGCCCTTCTTTAGGCGCATTCAGGTAGTCCAGGAGCCAATCAGCACACCAGAATAGATGAAGACAACGGGCTCCGTATATCCTCAAATCAATCTCGCAGAAGCGGAGTTGCCACGCGAGATCAACTTCCTTAGGCTTGTCGATCGCCTTTCTAAAAGCAGAGGCTGGTGCGGACATCGAGTAAAGACAAGACGATTCGTGGACAAACCCAACTCCAATGAGCTTAAGGTAAGCCACCTCCAGAGCTCCAACAAGACTTTGTATTTTGGAAGTCGACAACAGATCGTCGTACGTATACAGATTACGCGTAAGAGTTGACTCGTAATGCCTGATGCGCTTCGATACCAGTTCTTCAGGAAGGCTGCGGATCAGCTGGCGCGCATTTTCTATGGTGTCCTCAATTGAGGATTCGGGGAACAACATCACACTGGGAGTAGCGAGCAAGTCCAAATGTGCTCTTTGAACTATCTTCTCTCGGAAGCTAGCAGATGAAGGGTATATGGCTATCAAATAAGTGTCGTTCACCCACCCCTGGGATATCCAGAAGCATATGCCTCAGTTTTCCTGCCACATCCTGTTCGAATTGTTCCATGTATCGAATCCGGGGTTTTCTTAGCTTGATCTCTTGCATCGGTATGATTATGTTGGAAAGCTTCGCCAGGATTGCTTTCGGTGCTGCTGTGTCGAACAGTAGGTTATGAAAGTGAGTGGCGTAATCTGAGACGGGAAATTGGATGATTAATTCAGTCAAGGATAAGCTTGAACAAGAACCCTGCCGAGAAGATGTATCCAAAAGCTCGAGGTCCTCGTTGTTGATAGTGTTGAGGTGAAAATCAAAGCTAATGCTTTGACGTACGGCGCCTGGATCCTCACTATCGTAATACAAGAACGCACAACGTGAGTCGTATATGATGACCGTAGGCGAGTCGCCATGATCCTGCTCCTGAGCACATAAGCTTACAAGTGGCCGAGGTGTCGTCTCACCGCCCAGAAACACAGTGTGTCTCCCCGAAGGCCCTTTTGTCTTGCCCTTGCGCGTTTCCCATACCACGGTTATTCGGATTCCATTGAACATAGAGCATACTCGCACATGTCTTTCGACGTAGGAAACTTGAATTGCTCAGACATGTCTATAGATGTGGGGTATCCGCTTGAACCAAATTGGATCTCATTTGGTTCCAGTTCGTTTTCGACGTCGTCTGCCGCACCGAACGGAAAGGCCAGCGCTTTGGCGTGTTCAAGCATATGAACTGAAGCCAAAAACTTGTCAAAAAGTCGTTCCCCTTGTTCTTTGTTACAGAAACCATGTGTTTTATTGCATGCACCCATTAGGCGGTCTTCAATAGTTTGTCAATACTGTTCTCTGTCTTCGAATGTACATGGAGTTAGCTGATTTGGTAGTACGTGTGTACGGCGATGGCATGGAAATCTTCCTTTAATGATCTCGCCGCACAGGATAGCCGGGACTTGGATATCAGCTAGAAAGGGTTTTCCGACAAAATCTTGAGTCCCAGTCATCTTGGTAGCCTCAGGATGAGGTAGCGAAGTTGCCTTGTGCGATGTCATAAATTTCCTGTGACTAGTATATGCCTATCTAGTATACCTCTATTAGGTATAATAACTAAATCAATTATATTTGCGATGAAGGTAGTAGAATAGCGAACTACGGTTGCGACGAAGGCAACAGAACAGCAAACCATAGTTGCAATAAGATAGTAGTTAGCATAATGAACTATGGTTGCAATAAGGACAGTAGCGCAGCGCAGGGCACTGATGCCTATGACTGACTTGACTTTTTTTATATCTGTTTGCTGTATAGCGTATCAGATCAATTATCTCAGAAGAGAATCGTAGGCCACACCCTAACCTGCCAGAATTAGGTGTTGAGAAAAATAACTTCAGAAGTTAAAGTAAACGGATTTAAATAAGCGTTAGCAAGACTCTACTTTTAAACTTTAAGAAATTGATTAATAATACTACTACTAAAAATACATATACCTCTTGATAGGTATATACCTATTAGGCACACCCGTATCAATTATGGCTAAATTAATCATAGTTCCAATAAAGGTACATAGTAGAATAGCGAATTGTGGTTATAATAAAGACACGTAGTGTAGTAAAGCGCTCCGACGCCTATGAATTCGCTATATCGTCTCCCGTCTGTCTCTCCCATCTCATCACTGTAACGGCTTAGCTACTGAGGCTACCTATGTCCAAACCTAATCCGAACCAAGGTACGATCCAGCCTAGTGCGGAGCTGCCGATACAAATACCAGACCTCTTCCATAGTCACTCAGTAGATTTTTGATATCCTTTCGTACAAGGCCTATAGGTGTATTATCAGATTCTTAGCTCATTTATGTCCCATGCACTCCCGTATGCCTCTGAGTGACCTCATCGCCGACACGTATCCGATAGTTCTTGCCTGTGCAATTACAATCACCGCCACGAATTCATTTGAACTCGTTGACTGATACATACCGCGGGCAATATTTCTTCAGACTTGTTTTTGATACTGTGCTGGTTGGATCACATGACTCACTGTGTATGTATGTAACCGTCCAATGCTAATTCAGTAAGTCACGTGACTATACACAGCGCCCCTGAGATAGGAATCTAAGACATCACGTGCTTTTAGAGCTTAACCTAATCGATCAACTGAGGTCTACTTCTTACTTCTAACTCATTTTTTGGCTACTGAGATTCTGGTCCATTCAATCGGTTCGAAAAAATAAAATAAAATAAAATCAATCCCAAGGCATGGAAGACTGACAGTGTTTTGGTTTCTACTCTGCTTCAGGTTCATCACCAACTGATCATCGGAGTCTTAACTGCCGGGCAGGTAGTTTGTCTACTCGATTGACATTCTCAACTACCGAAGTTTCTCGGCTGGTATTCTTGACGGCGCAAAAAGGCAAAGAAAATGTCTTAGAAACAACAATGTCATTGCAGCCAACGAACTGTTGCTGTTGTCAAGATGATGTCGTGTATGTCGCAGCTGTCGCACGTCGGCCAAACTGAGTGGTTGACTGTCTCCCCCTCTGAACTCTATTTACATGAAGCTTATAGTTCTGACAGCTTGCGTTCGCTGCGCAATATATGCCCCTGTCTGAGCAGCGGCACATCCAGAAGAAACGAAACCTTGTTGATGAATAGCGCAGGGATGCGCCCCCGAAGTGTTGGGCCTCACCAAGACCCTTTGCATTCCAACCATAGTATCAAAGCGTTTTCTTGATTATGGTTTGTGAGGGAGGGAGGGAGGGAGGGAGTAGCTGCGACAAGGTATGTATACAAGTAGCATTGTAAAATGAGTTGTTTATGGAGTCTGGTACTCTACGTAGTCCCTAAATGGAGAACCAAGAAAATACCCAAGCCAACTGTTCCAAGCATTTCCCTGCTGCGCTTGAGCGCTATTTAAGGGGCGTGAAACGCAGAGTCCTGTGGACTTGTCATGGATGCACGCGCCAGTGATTCGACCGCTGTCAGAACCACCCGTCTTTCGTGAGACGGCTGCTGACCGAAGGCCAAACGCGTGCCTCACGCCAATGGCTCTTGAACTTGGCCAACTGCCTGAATTACTCGTAGCGTTCTACTGCATTGAGGATGGGCCCTATACGATACCTATTTTTTTTAGTTTGAATAGGATAAAGCCATGATCTAGGCGGCGTCTCATGATACCTGTTGTCCAAGGTACTAGCGCCATAAGCTGCAATGTCTAGTGCTAGTAAACTGCACAATCTGAGTTGCCCACGTTGCGAAACAGGCGACACGGGTGGTTCGCAGTCGTTGCCAGCCACAATCAGCCCTACAAGGCCAACAGAAACATTGTCAACCAACGGTTGCGGACCCGGAACCGCTCGGAGCACAACTGATCCACAATTTGGGGCAGCGTGTGGCGATAGTACTTAAATGGGCAACCCAACACAACCATGCGTTTGCGGGAGTCTAGGATGTTAAGTTGGGCAGAGGTATACACTAGGAAAAAAGGGAAAAGGCATTGTCAGCGCAAAGATCGCACCAGCACATTTCAACAACACCAAGAGCTGATTATGACATACGAACAGGACGCGTACTGGTCCTATAAAAACTAGTCTTGAAAAAACCCCGGTTAACATTTCGCATACATGGAAATCTTGCGACAGTGGTGCGAGCGAGGTATTCGACCAGGCTGTGTTAGATTGATTGCGCCTCTACAACGGTTGATCGTTGCAAGGGAAGACTGAAATGGAAGCCTTTAGATTAGGAGAACTGCATAACCGCGTGAGCACCGCTGTTTAAGATGATTTGAGCAAGGTCCAACAAGGATTATGCTAAGCAAAGCTAACAAACAGCCTTGCGATTCGATCCGTGCCTCGGAGCGTTGACAATGACAAGACGCTCGGGATCCCTCATTCCGCTTGGCTATCAGAGCACACGTATTTCTGAACATAGTAGGTCCGACTTTTGCTATGCACAAAGGACGTTGTTCTAGGGGGCGCGCCCAATTGAAATCGTAGGAAGAGCGATGGTGAAATCGCGGCTCCTGGTACCTCCTGAAACGGCGAGGCTTAAAAGCGCCGAAAATCTCCACGCTAAGGGAATAAACTCTGCGCTCAGATACTGCAGACATTCCCGATCCCCCCCAGGTTTTCGGGCCTTATTTTTCTCAAGGGGGGGGGGGGTGAAACGAACAAAGGAAGACACCATTCGTAAGGCTTGGAACAGCCCTTGGGTCTTGGACACCGACGAAACGCCATGAGATTAGATGCAAGGAATTGTTTAAATGGAATCGATGTCTACACGGAACATGGCTTCTCACTCACACGCATCTCACTGCGAGTTACACTCTCTTTAAGTAATTAATCACATTCATTTATTTGGCTATCAGCCTGTCCTGTCTTTAAATATGCGTTTCACCGACGCCGCCACTCTCTTCTCCCTCTCTTCGCTCGCCCAGGCAGCACCAGGTCTCTGGAGCCACCAGCACGCCCACTACGCTTCCAGCAGCTATGGTAGTGGTAGCAGCCAGGGATACCAAACCGGTACCTTCTTCACCAACTGGGGCATCTACGCTCGCAACTACAAGGTCACCGATCTCCCCGCCAAGCAACTGACCAAGGTCAACTATGCCTTTGCCAACGTAAACAACGTCACCGGTGAGGTCGTACTTAGTGACGAGTGGGCGGACATTCAAATCCCCTACCCTGGTGATGTTGCCGGAAACGGCACTCTGCTTGGTAACTTTGGTGCGCTATTCAAGCTCAAGCAGCAGAACCGCCACCTGAGGGTTACTCTCTCCATCGGTGGCTGGAGCTTCAGAAACAACTTCAAGCCCGCTTTCTCCACCGAGGCTGGCAGGCAAAAGTTCTGCGACAGCTCGCTCGAGTTCGTCAAGGACCTTGGTCTCGATGGTATCGACATCGACTACGAGTACCCCGAAGACTTGGAGGCTAGTGCCAAATTCGCTGATGTCGTCAAGCGCTGCCGCAATGTAAGTTTGATATATCCCTTTTAACACATCATGAACAAAGCATCCTAACATTCCACCCCAGGCTTTCGACACCTACTCCGCCGCCCACGCCAACAACTACCACTTCATTATCAGCATCTCCTCTCCTGCCGGCCCCCAAAACTACGAAATCTTCCCCATCACAGAAATGGACCCCTACGTCGACAACTGGAACCTTATGGCCTTCGACTACCAAGGCCCTGGCTTCTCCAACTTCACCGGCCACAACAGCAACCTCTGGCCCAGCAAGACGAACCCCCGCTCCACCGACGGCTGGGACGCCAAGAACAAGAAGTTCACTGCCTTCAACACTGACCGCGCGATCCAGTACTACAAGAGCAAGGTCTCGAGCCCCAGCAAGATCCAGCTTGGCATGCCGCTGTACGGCCAGGCCTTTGCAAACGTCATGGATCCCAACCCCTTTGGCGACGGCACGGGCGCAAAGTTCAACGGTAGCATGCCTGGAAGCTGGCAGGCGGGTAACTACGACTACAAGGTGCTTCCGCTCAACAACTCGGGTACCGCATATGCTTCGTACGAGGCTGGTGCGGCGTGGACGTACAACCGCAAGACGCGCGATCTTGTTAGCTTTGATACTCCCCAGGTGGCTCAGTGGAAGACGCAGTACATCAAGGCGCAGCAGCTTGGTGGTGCTTGGTGGTGGGAGGCGTCTGGTGACCGTCCCGTCACTGACCCCAAGTCGCTTGTTCGCACTGTTGTTCAAGCGCTTGGTGGTGAGAGCGCGTTCAAGCCCACTGAGAACTTGCTGTACTTCCCTCAGAGCAAGTATGTCAATGTGCGCAATGCCAACGTTACTCGCGCTTAGGTGTGTGTGTGTGTATGCGGGGCTTGGTAGCTAAGTGTGTCGATGCGAAAGGAGTAGAGTAGAGATATATACAATATACCCGATTGGAATCATAGAATATACGTTTTGTGTTACACCTTCGCTTTCTCTCTCATGTCTTCGCATCTATAGTGGTATCTTAGTGTATGTATACATGTAGATTAATGCTGACGTTCACGCGGGTACACCCTTTTGTCGCAGTAAGCACCCAAACTTTTGGCATGGTGGATAGACTTTTCTCCCCTTGTCGCACGCCCGAGCATCGATTCTCTCCCGCGCTCGAAGATGCACGTCATCGAGTTGATCCGCCCGTAAGCACCGCAGTTCGTTGCTGATAAACAGAAATTCTACTACAAACGGTATGAAAGGTGAGAAGGGTGTTGGAAAGGGGACAGGGGGAAGGAAGGCGAAGCTGGTGAACATGCCGCCCTAGTTATTAGCATCTTGGTGTGTGAATTGGATACGAGATGTTGGCGGGTAATTAGAGTCAGTGTGTGGTTGTGTGGGCATCAAGATTCATTTCTGGTTTTGAGGTCGGCGACTTGTTGGATATCACGTCCTTTCGGCCGTATATGAAAAAGGAGACACGACCAGTGACTTCGTACAGACGCGCTGAGCTTTCGGGACGCCTGAAAACAGCAATAGCATGTCTTCCATTCTCAGCTGCAAAGATTGTCAGCAGATTCAACAATCTAGCCAACTTGCCTCGTGGAATCCATCTGCCGGATTAGCACGCCAGATGGAACCCGTCTCGATGCAGAGAAATTGGCTCGAGCAGGTACCAACAAGAGTACTCGACTTAGCAGATAAAAACGAGACGGTGAAATGCCATGAGAGCCCATCGGCCGGACCTGTTCGGACTTATTGCGGCCGTAAGCAGACAATCAGTAAGGCAGCAAAAAGATAGCATGTTCTTAGCGAAGAGGACGCGCGATGCGATGCGACACGATTCGTGGCTGTGTAGAGTGGGTACGCGGCGAGATATGAGTTCAGGCTAAATGCATTGATGATGATGACACGGGTGCTGGGGTGGTTTGTTCAGGCGGGGAGGAAAAGACGGGCAGGAAATTATGGAGCAGACAAGGTGCTGTAAGATTACGTTATGCTGGGGTGAAATCAGAGCCGCAGGGGCGAAGCTGGTGCGGCTCATCCCGGACCCACCTCCAAGAACACCCATCGCGCTTGAGGGCCACCATCAACATCATGAATGCCCTCATTGCTCGGCACGCCAGTCATCGAGGATTTTCGGCCAGGTCTTTGCGCAGTATTGGCACCACGTTCAATCCCTGCTTTCGTGCATCGAGATCAGTTAATACAATGGCTCAGCGACCCCGGCGATTTGCCCCACTGGATCCAGCAAAGAGGAAGGAGGGGGACCAGAGACCAGAGTTGAAAGGCATCGTATTCGATGTCGACGGGACATTATGTAACCAACCCCCTGGTTCTCACGGGTGGGATGATAATATACTAATGCGCGACAGGTCTGCCGCAGAATTACATGTTTGCAGAGATGCGTGCCACTCTCGGCATCGAGAAGCCGACCGATATTCTGGATCACGTGTACTCGCTGCCCGAGAGCGAGCAAGAAGAGGCACAGGAAAAGATTCGAAACATCGAGCGGACTGCAATGAAGTCGCAACAGCCACAGGCCGGCCTCGTGGAGCTGATGGAGTACCTAGACTCGCGGGGCGTCAAGAAGGGCATTTGCACGCGCAATTTCGATGCCCCGGTTGCCCATCTCCTCACCACATTTCTACCCCAGTCCAAGTTCAGCCCTATTGTGACGCGCGAGTTTAGGCCGCCCAAGCCCGACCCCGCTGGTATTCTGCACATTGCCAAGGACTGGATGCACGAAGATGGGGGAAACAGTTTGATCATGGTGGGAGATTCCATCGACGACATGACGGCGGGCCATCGTGCAGGAGCTGCAACGGTTTTGCTGGTCAATGATGTGAACAATCATCTCGCCGAGCACGAGCATACAGACCTTGTCGTCAAACGGCTTGATGATCTTATCGCCATCTTGGAGAACGGGTTCGAGGGAAGACAATGATGGGCGTATATAGCAAACAGCTTGGATGACTGCCTAACCAGGAAGCTCGTAGTACTACTAGAGTGAAATGGAAAAGCATTGACCATTTCCTCGAGCAATGCTGTACTGCTGCCAAAGCAACCTACAAACCACCTATTCAACTGTCCGCGATGAAATCCGCCTCGGCATTATTTAGAAAGTTACTCGTACGCTAGCTCTCTGCTCTATGACGTGCTGATCGATGGGCCATGAGTGTGAGTGCGTCTCGTGCGACATGTTCGGGGTGCAGTGTTACTTTTAGGAAGGTGAACATGGTCCGTTGATCCACCCTAGCTCCCCAACGCCACACGGCTAAGCTGCCGCGTCAAGCTTTTTGCACACAACACCAAGCACACCCAGCATTTTATAAGCGTTGAGCAGCCCTAAGCAACTAGTGATATGCGCAAGGTTGGTTATATCTGCTGCTATACCGATATGATCTAGCAGCAACTTGCAGGCCCTTGAAGTACCCTCATCCAGCGTCGACACATGTGCAACTCGACCCGTAGTATGTGACAGTGCTGCATACTAGTACATACACAGCTATCCGTTGTGTGTGTGTAATGCATGTAACATGTTGGCCCATCTCAGTCGCACTCAAAAGAAGATGCTTGGGCTGGTATGGGACTGGTCCGGTGGATCACAATACAGTTGTGGAGTTCGCCTTGCCACAATTAAGGCAGCTGTCTATTAGGATCCGAGGGGCTTGTTTCAAGGCCCACCAATCCGCGAGACTCATCCAACCAAGCCAGTGTGCTTGGCTATCTATTTATCTTGGCCAAGAGGCGGAGACCCATAATGTTGATCCGGACGTTGAGCTGCATATGGACCATATTAATGATTGGGGCGGGCTGGGAAGATCGCCTGGTCAACTACGTATCTCGTGCCTTGGCACCTGAGGGTATAACTATTTGCCTTGCTTCCTGCAAACGCGCCTTCTTCACCACATCATTGATTCCTGCCTCAAAGGGAGAAGGTTTGTGTGAGGTCCTTGAGACGCCGTCGCTGTCTTGCACTCCCTGTTTCTGTTCTCCTATCTATCCTGCAGTATGAAGTACAACGCACTCCTCACTGGCCTACTGGCTGTTACCCATGGCAGCGCCGTTTCCGCTTCAATCACTTCACACGTCGAGGGTGAAGTTGTCGAGCGACTTCATGGTGTCCCTGAGGGTTGGAGTCAAGTGGGCGCCCCCGATCCAGACCAGAAGCTGCGCTTTCGCATCGCAGTCCGCTCGGTGAGTAATTGCTTTCGCGACCCATGTTTAAGCCTTGCAATGCTGTTTACTGAATATTACAGGCGGATAGTGAGCTATTTGAGAGGACGCTCATGGAGGTTTCTTCTCCCAGTCACCCTCGCTACGGACAGCACTTGAAGCGACACGAGCTCAAGGATCTCGTCAAGCCACGAGCCGAGTCAACCTCAAACATTCTCAATTGGCTCCAAGAGTCTGGAATTGAGGCGAGAGACATCCAGAACGATGGAGAGTGGATCAGCTTCTATGCTCCGGTTAAGCGTGCCGAGCAAATGATGGGCACTACATTCAAGACCTATCAGAGCGAGGCCCGAGCCAATATCAAGAAGATCCGCTCTCTAGATTACTCGGTGCCGAAGCACATTCGAGATGACATCGACATCATCCAGCCTACGACGCGCTTCGGCCAGATCCAACCGGAGCGTAGCCAGGTTTTTAGTCAAGAGGAGGTCCCATTCTCAGCACTTGTTGTCAATGCGACGTGTAACACGAAAATCACTCCCGACTGCCTCGCCAACCTCTACAACTTCAAAGACTATAATGCCAGCGATGCTGACGTCACCATTGGAGTTAGCGGCTTCCTGGAGCAATATGCTCGCTTTGACGACTTGAAGCAATTCATAAGCACTTTCCAGCCAAAAGCAGCTGGTTCCACATTCCAAGTTACATCTATCAACGCAGGACCTTTTGACCAGAACTCGACAGCTGACAGTGTTGAAGCCAATCTCGACATTCAGTATACTGCAGGTCTTGTTGCGCCCGACATTGAAACTCGCTACTTCACCGTTCCCGGTCGCGGCATCCTGATTCCTGATCTAGACCAGCCTACGCAGAAAGACAACGCCAATGAGCCGTATCTGGATTACTTTACATATCTCAATGATCTCGAAGACGAAGAACTCCCCGAAGTGCTGACCACATCTTACGGTGAGAGTGAGCAGAGTGTACCCGCCGAATATGCAAAGAAGGTGTGCAATCTGATCGGCCAGTTGGGTGCTCGTGGTGTGTCCGTCATCTTCTCTAGCGGTGATACTGGCCCTGGCTCTGCATGCCAAACCAATGATGGAAAAAACACGACACGTTTCTTGCCCATCTTCCCTGCTTCTTGCCCCTACGTCACTTCGGTTGGCGGCACTGTTGGTGTTGAGCCTGAAAAGGCCGTCAGCTTCTCTTCGGGCGGCTTTTCTGACCTATGGCCTCGACCCGCTTACCAAGAGAAGGCTGTATCTGAATATCTCGAAAAGCTCGGAGACCGCTGGAACGGACTTTACAACCCCCAAGGACGCGGATTTCCCGATGTAGCTGCTCAGGGCCAAGGTTTCCAGGTGTTTGACAAGGGCAGGTTGATTTCGGTTGGAGGAACGAGCGCTTCAGCTCCTGTTTTCGCATCTGTAGTCGCACTCCTAAACAACGCTCGCAAGGCTGCGGGCATGTCTTCGCTCGGCTTCTTGAACCCATGGATCTACGAGCAAGGCTACAAGGGTTTGACCGATATCGTTGCTGGAGGCTCGAGAGGATGCACAGGGAGATCTATTTATTCAGGCCTCCGAGCACCACTCGTGCCATATGCTTCTTGGAATGCCACTGAAGGATGGGATCCAGTGACGGGCTATGGTACACCTGATTTCAAGCAGTTGCTCACCCTTGCCACGGTGCCTAAGTATGGCGAGCGCCGCGTCCGTCGTGGCGGTCTCGGTGGCCAGGCCTAGAGGACGTTTTGTGTGTGTCGAGCGTGAATGCTGAGCGACTTTGCGAGGCTTCATGCATCGCAGGATAGGAATGGACACTAGGTAGAACAGACATTCATGAAAATTAATCCTATGACGACTTTACAATTTTCCAAAAGTCCAAAAGTCTCCAAACCAAAGAACCGATGTTCTGTGCAGAAAGCGACATCTCAATGAATGCACCTCGGCACAAGAATGCCATAGTATTGTAAATTTTATTACAACCATGAGTATGGCTTTCCCAACCCCGCCACATGCCAGGCACGCGAAAGCCACATGCGGCAGTTGTCTACCGTAACAAGACGCAGACCACACGACCATGCGATCATACCTTTCATCACCAACCTCCGCAAACCTTGTGCGACATTTTTTACAACGGCTGCTGCTAACTCGGCGCCACTGAGCGCCACCCCCGAAACCTTAACGAGCTGCCTCATGCAGTTAATACGGCCCGCACCTTGTTCCCACCTAAGTAATACAAGCATTCGCCACGGTGCTTGACCCCTCGACATTGACGCGGCCAAATCCGATTGGAAAAAGACGCAGCCTGCCTCCCCTCCAATTATCATGTGTGACGGCCTACAACAATTTGCAGCGGGCCTGCGCATTGGACAGACCGTGGCACTGCAACACACTTCGGCTTTAACGAGAGAGATAAGAGTAGCCCGTTTCTCTCACACACAGCCAAAGAAGCCGCGTCGCCCGCTTCGCTATCTAGGAAATACGAGTGGGCGTGGCATTGCTTGGTTGCCGTGGCGGGGCTTGAAGAAGCTTTTGTTGTGCTACTAGTTTGATCCGTCGTTTTGTTTGCGGTGTTTATCACACAAATACTAACTTTGGATACTTCCACCGGTGCCTGAGCAGTATGTAAGGACATTTTGAAACCTTCTAGAGGGCATGTTCGACCTAGTCGATGAAATATAAAGCTGAGTAGACGTTGGCGAGCACTTTGCAAACGGCCGGTCGCGCATGTCGATTGCTAGTCAAGCAATGGTCCGAGCAAGCCGCGACTTGCCATCATACCCTCGCCTTCCTAACCAGGTATAGAGCTCGGCTCCAGTTTTCCAACCTACTATCGCTAATACATATCGGAATACAGCCAGATATGTGCCGCGTCGTAGGCAGGGTATGCCTGAATGATGTCAGTCCCGCGCGCTGCGCCTGTACTTGAAGAAGACTGCGCGCCCACTGCTTTGTCTCTCTCACGGCCATTGATAGTCACACCTTGGACGTGACTAACACTCAATCCCCGGCACCTCAAGACCGAAGCAAGTCATCATGCAGCTTCTTTCAATCATTGCCGTATGTGGCCTCACAGCCAGTGTCTCCGCTCGGAGCGCTCGTTCCGTTGGTAGGAAGGTGGAATTTCCTCGCCCTCGCATTGGTGTCCCGGCGCACAATGTGCAGCCTCACAAGCGCCAGGCTTCTCAGATCATAAACACTGAGGCTTCCAAGGGTGTGTATTTGAGAAAGAAGGGGCGTGAAACTAGCTAACGTCATATAGCCTTTGCTGTCAATGGCACTGCTGGAGCCATCCCCGAAGTCTACTTCGACATTGGCGAATCATACGCTGGTCTCCTCCCCATAAGCAAAGCTGCCAATGAATCTCGGGAGCTCTACTTTTGGTTCTTTCCTTCTGAGAACCAAGATGCTAGCGACGAAATCACCATCTGGTTGAACGGTAAGCCAAAAGTTGAATACCATCACAAATTGCCTCTAACAAACGATGCAGGTGGCCCTGGTTGCTCTTCTCTTGAAGGATTTCTCCAGGAAAATGGTCCCATTTCGTGGCAATACGGCAGCGGTCCAGGTCCTGTCTACAACCCATGGAACTGGGCAAACCTCACCAACATGGTCTGGGTCGAGCAGCCCGTTGGCACTGGCTTCTCTCAGGGAAAGCCCACTGCTACTAGTCAAGAGCAGACTGCCGAGGAGTTTCTTGGTTTCTTCAAGAACTTTATCGACACTTTTGGTCTGCAAAACCGCAAAGTGTACATCACCGGCGAGTCATACGCCGGCCGCTACGTCCCTTACATTGCCGATGCCATGCTGAGCAAGAATGACTCAACATACTACGATGTCAAGGGCGTCATGTTCTACGACCCCAGCGTAGCCGACGACGGCCTCCTGACCGACATCCCCGCGGTCCCCTACGTCGACCAATGGGCTGGTCTCTTCAACTTCAACCAAAGCTTCATGGACGACATCCACGCTCGCGCCGACGCCTGCGGCTACACCGAATACATGGAGAAATACCTCACTTTCCCCCCCACCAGCAAATTCCCCACCCCAGCCAACAACTCCAAAACAGAAGGCTGTTCCCTCTGGCAAGACATCCTTGACGCCGTTTTCTACACAAACCCCTGCTTCGACGTCTACGCAATCGCAACCACCTGCCCTCTCCTCTGGGACCCCCTCGGCTTCCCCGGCTCCTTCGACTACCTGCCTCCACGCACTGAAATCTACTTCAACCGCAGCGACGTCCAGGCCGCCATTAACGCGCCGATCCAGCCCTGGGCCGAGTGCTCCAACGGCGTCCTCGACACCGACACCTCGGCGCAATCGTCCTGGGAAGTCATCCCCCGCATCATCGACGCGCTTGACCGCACAATCATTGCGCACGGCGAACTCGATTACGTGCTGCTGCACAACGGCACGTTGATGGCAATCCAGAACATGACGTGGGGCGGCCTGCAAGGGTTCCAGAAGCCGCCGACTGACGATTTCTACGTCCCGTACCATGACGATTTGAGCCAGACGAGTTTGAGCGCAAAGGGCTTGATGGGCAAGACGATTACCGAGCGCAAGCTTACGTATGTGCAGCAGGCGCTGAGTGGGCATATGGTGCCGCAGTACCAGCCCAGCAGTGCGTATAGGCAGTTGGAGTTTTTGCTGGGCAGAGTCGAGAGTCTGACGTCCAGGGAGGGTTTTACGACACTGCCGAAGAGTGTGCAGAGTAATGGGACGAGTGTTGGGGAGAAGAGGGATTTGGGTGTTATGAGGGAGTTTAAGAGGTGGGTTTGAGCGAACCTATCTACTTCTTTCTCTATAAGGGGAAAAAAAGAAGAAAAGGAAGAAGATGTAGTAACGTCGTAATGTCCATATGTAAGATAATAAAAACAAAACACACATGCAAATTATCCTGCCACATTCTCGACTTCCCTCCCCCCATCCATCCCCAGTACCCCCTCCTGCCTCTCCTTCACTGCCTCTGGCACCTCCGCAAATATCTTGCCAATAGCCTCCACTGTCGTATTGCCCCCACTAAAAACAACACCAACATTCCACCCCTCCTCCCCGGCCTCCCTCTGCACCAACCCCCTAAACTCCTCATTAAACAGCACAACCGCGAGTCCCACGACCGCAGAGGGCTCCACAAAACACTTCATCCTCTCCAACACTAGTCTCATTGCCTTCTTAATCTGATCCTCAGTCACCGCAAACAAGCCTGCCACATACTCTGGCTTCGAAATAACACTCCAATTGTGCACGCCGAGTGGCGTACGCAAGCCGTCTGCAATCGTAAGCGTCTTGACAGATGTGACGCGCTCGCCCGCCGCAACACCCCTGCGCGCATCGTCGCCGCCCTGGAAACTCGGTTCCGCGCCGAACACACGGATGCCCGTACCATGCAAAGCGATCGCGATGCCGCTGAGCATGCCGCCGCCGCCACAGGGAGCGATAACCGCATCAAGTTTACTGTTCCCAGACGAAGACTGAGCGAGGAGCTTGGTAGCCTGCTCCTGGAGTTCGAGGGCCAGCGTGCCTTGGCCGAGGATAATGTTCGGGTGGTCATACGGAGGGATGAGAGTTGCGCCTGTGTCGTTGATTACGGTTGCGACGACGGCTTCGCGCTCGGTGCTTGTGGAGCCTGAGAAGTGAACGGTTGCGTTTTGGGCTTTTGTGCCTGCGATTTTCGAGGGGGTAGAGATCGTGGGCATGACGATGTGGGCGGGGATGGAGAAGGTGCGGGCGGCGAGGGCGAGGGCTTGTGCATGGTTTCCTGCAGACATAAATATTAGATTGGGGGGGGGTTGGAATGGAGGGGAGAGAGGAAAGTATGTATACCGCTGCTGTGTGTTACTACTCCTTTTTTTCGTACTTCATCTATACCCTCTTTCTCAATCAGGCGCGTGACGGCATGGAAGGCGCCGCGGACTTTGAATGCGCCAATGCGTTGGAAGTTTTCGCATTTGAAAAAAATGTTTATTTTTGGATGGACGGGTTCTTGGCCTTCCCATTGAGTTCCTTCCAGTGCTTCGGCTGCCTGGGGCGTCGAGGCAAGATTGCTCAGCGTGGTGTTGGTTAGCACGGGGGTATCGTGGATGTGGGGTTTGATAAGAGCATGAGCAGCTTCGACGTTTGAACGCGTCAAGGAGGGATGTATTTGTGTAGACGCCATGATTGCGGGTGAGAAAAAGGAGATAAGTAGTTTGGGGACATGTTTATTTGAGTCAGAGAATGTAGTTATGCGGTGCTGCTTAGATATACAGCGGGGAAGATGGCGTGCGTAGTGGGGGAGGCTCGCCACGAGTCATGGCTATGCCGCTGTTCCTGGGCCGATGACACGACGAACCCTTCTCCACAATTCAACCCCACACGTAGTTCCCGACTATGTTGTCGTTGTATTAAGATGCAAGGGGTCTAAGCAGTGACAGGGTTAGATGGTGGTGACAGGTACTTGACAGGAACGTGGTCTTCTTTGAACTACGCTGTAAAAACAACCATCTGTCTAACCTTTTTAGGCAAACGAGGACATCGTCAAGTCTGTGCAAATATTCAGTAGTTCGTTTGTCTACACAACAATGAAAAATGGCCACATTCACCTTGTTTCTTGATAGTTCTGTTAATTTTGCAAAACATAAAGCAAATATTTTAGTGAGATACAGAGGATATTGAAAGACTCATGGGGAGCCATGATTCAGATTCTGGTGATGTATGATCAACGTACTACTATCTCAATCTGAAAAGAACAAGATTGCTCAGCCAGAGACTCAGTCGTTGTATCCTATCTACCATTCATCAACCTATCCAGTATCCATGATTCATTATCCGTTATCCATCAATGACAATTACCATCCATCAGTGTCAGGCACCGTCCATCGGCGACAGTCACCACAGTCAGTGGCAGTCACCACAATCAGTGGCAGTTACTCTCTGCTCTATGTTAAGGGCCTTAATCAAGTCAGGATACCACGGCTTCTGAGGAGAATCGGGCGTGAGGAGACTGCTGACGCGCACGTTGACTTGGTTAGCACGGATCTTGAAGCCAGCAGCGCGATACAGATCAATTGCCGCCTGCTTGTCCCTGCTGCGAAAGTTTTCGAATATGTGAATGTCAAGGTCAGTCAGCTCCGTCATGTGGTCGGTGAGAAGGCGGAGGACGCGTGCACCAGGGCAGCATCGGTAGAGGTCTCCGATAGATCTGAACCAGATGACTTCGCGAGGCTCATAGGTGTCACGATTAAGGAAGCCACGACGTGTAGGATGGGGCAGCTCAAGGCGCGAGTCCATAATACCAATCTCGAGGGTGATGCGTCGGAGGGAGCTTAGAGCCCACCTTTGTGGGAGGAGAGGACCAATGGAGTTTCCATGTTTGTTCACGAGACCCCTGCGTGGCTCGAAGTCGATTGGAAACTTGAACTTGTGTAGTCCATAGAAGACCGACTTTGTGAGATCACGGAATTTCGACGAGACGCAAAGAAGATTGCTGAGCTCCTCAAAGAGGCTGCTCTTTGACATGATATCGTAGTAACGTCCATGAATGACACTACCGTTGTGACCGAGGGTGTAGAGGATGATCTTGCAAAGGATCTCGTTTGGCAGCTCGACAGAGCGGCGCCGAGCGGGCTCGACCATGGTAATCGTGGTGATCGGCGGAGGCATCTTGCTGAGAGCAGATGCTCGGATTGAACTTGAGAAGAGTAGTTTGCTTGCAAGTATAGAAGAAGGACAACTCGTTGCTTCAAAGCTGATGAGATTGAGTAGAAGAGGTAGAGTCGAGGGGAGAGGCAATTTTTATATGCGCAGGGAGACAAGGGTCCAGCGTGTTGACGGCACAAGGATGGCGCCGTGTGAAAATGAATGGAGACACACAAATTTCCCCAGTAAACAAGAGGAGAGTGAGGAGCTCAAGAAAATGCAAGGTCCCTGTCAAATTTTGATTCTCACGCTCGCTTCTGGCTGGTTTGTGCAGCTCCGTATGCGTCACTTCACTGTCTTGGCAGCTCTGGCCTGTGGCATATGTCTCTGTAGAACTGACATGAATCCTTCTGTGAGCTCCTAGTGGCTACAACAAGTTCACCGAAGGCGTACCAGCGGTGACTGTCCTTGGTCTGATGGTGAGATGCCTGCGGTGATCCCCTTTGTAAACACAAAAAACAGTGCCCGGAAAGGAGTAAGACTCGTCAGACAGGGGATCACCGCTTGTGGGGGAAATCCACTGCAGACTGAAGACTAATGGATTTGGGGGATGCGGGGAGTCCCTGGGCCGCAAGTGAAAACGTCGAGTGCTTGCTTGCTGCGCTTTGTGAGCCGTGCCCCAGTGGTACGAACAGAGTCGTAGAACAGATATCTTGTCCTTGACTGAGGTGGTAGAACCCGTGTGGACAAGATACCCAAGAGTTCAAGAAAATCTCTATCCTCACTCTTTCTGAAATGCTCTGATCATAGCAAGTCTCCAGATGGTACGACCTGTGAGACCCCCGTGTATAGGCAGTAGTTTCTGGCGCGCTAAGTCGACCCGTCCACGGCCACAACACCATCCATCAACAAAGACACCCATGGCATGAGGTGTCGGAGTAACCCCCAGAAACAGGCTGAATTCTTGACAGGAAAATTGACAATCCACTTTTACGGGGCCACGAAGACGGAGAGTCTATTGGCGAACGGCCACCTCCCGCAACCACGCAGATAAATCGAGATTCTGAAACGACGGAGCGCAGCTACTCACACATGCAACAGCGTTCGATCAGAGACGAAATCGATCGAACCGATACACCGAAACGAGTACTGGCACAATTGGGATTGGTACCGCACAAGGTTGTGCCGGATGCTGGGCAAACTCATCAGGCGGGGCCCGAAGATGTCCATTTCAGAACAAGGATATGCTGAACTTGGCCAGTGACATATTCAGACTGTCAAGGGAGTTACAGGAGATCCATTAGATAACCAGGATAAGATACTGTTCGCTTCCTCAATTGCCACGCGCCATGTCTGAACAACCCGGCAAGGGGGTTCCATGATTTGCAGAAAACCGAACATAACGCAAACAAGCTCATTCAAGGATCTCTAGAAGAAACCCGAGAGCTTTTCACAATTAACAATTGACCATAACGACGAAATATCGTCGATATCATATCAACGGTTAAATGAGAGGCAATAGAGCAAGACGACCAACCCCGTGGCATTGATTGAGTAAGGAATCCAGGATTCGAAAGGCATACAAGGATCCAGAGAAGCCTTTGGGCGGGCCCCTCAAATCCAGAAGCTGACAGGGTCGCAGAGAACCCAGGGTAGCGTCAATGAAACGGGCGTTTGCAGTCGACTGCCGCCACATTTGGAATTCAGAGATGAGGTCTCTGGGCGAACAAAAGTCCAACAGGCAGTATGGCACATGTTGGTGGGCGATATACAGACAAGGGCAACGACAGGTTCAACAGAGGAACGGTTTCGTTCAACATGGGCATGCACAGGAATGCAGTCACCCACGACAGTGTTGAACGCGAATCTGCAAGATATATTAGTTGTGATTCACGAGAACAAGCTACATCTAAAGTGCACGTGGATTAGTAGCGCGGCGAGGTTAGAGGACGACTGCGGGCAGCAGGTAGAGAGGTTCGTGGTGAGAGGAGAGTAAACAGAAGGGAGGCGGCTGGCAAGGAAAAGACATGGCTCTGGAGTGGCCCATGCACCCACGCTAGTACTAGTCACCATTGCCGTTGTCCGCCCATAGCTGCGGACAACCACTTCACATCGCTCCAACATAAATCCGCCGTTTTGCATGCACATTGTTTCTAGATCTTGCCCTGTGATGCTATGACCAAGAGGTCTCATGCCAGTATATCCGCTTTGCATGCAGAGCCTCTGGAGCGGCAAGCATCATACGATGGCGAAGGCAGCGCCAGCCATGAGGACGGCGGTGCGTCAGCGCTGAAAAAGGCGCGCTCTTTTATGGCCACTCTGGTAAGCTAAGCCGTGTATAGATCACGTGAAAGCGCAACTGACGCAGATAGGCCTGCGACGTATGTAGGTCGAGAAAGACTCGATGCGACGAAGACCGACCAAGATGTGGCTACTGCAGAACCATGAATCTCGAGTGCACTTACCAAGCACCGCGAGCAACAAAGAAGGACCAGTCCATGGCAGTAGCTATAAACGCTATCCGAAGGCTTGAATCCAAGATTGAAGATCTCACTACAGCCATCAATGCACCCAAGGCTGCAGTCACGTTGCCGCTTTCCCCTGCAGGTCCCATCCCGGACCATCACTCGCCCTATGCCACTTTCTCTCAGCCCAGCCCTGGGAGCCATGCCACAGCCGCACCTTCAAATAGTTTGCATCGCAACAGGCTGAGCATACACGACATTGCAATGTCCCCACAGGTTGTTGGAACGCCAGCCAAGAGCCCCTTTGCACTCCCAGAAATACAGGGCGCAGTGGATCTCTCCTTCAGCCAGCATCGGGTTGCCTTGTGGCCTGCCGTTCAACAGGTTCTTCCTGAAGTGTTTGTCTCAGCACGCAAAGAGCTTCCCGAAGACTACATTGTCGAAATCGAGAACCATAGGCTGCCACTGCCAATGGACATTAGTCATCCATACAACACTAGTCCCGATAGTTGGTTGATGAGTCTCCCGCAGTCGGCGGTAAAAGGCCTCGCAGATGCATACTTTGCGGTATTCCATCGCAACACGCCTATACTAGACAAGTACCACTTCTTCTCGAGCACGTTGGGTATAGCGATGGATAACGAATTCGGTTATAAAATCGAGACGGCTTTGGTACTTGTTGTACTAGCGTTGGGATGCTTAGCTGCCAAGGCGCATGAAGAAGGCGACTTTAGTCTTCCTTCTCGGCACTCTGCGACTGGGCGAGGCTTTATTCCTCCCGACTGGTACGAGCTCATTGTTGACGAACCTCCTGGCCTCAAGTTCTTCAATGAAGCCCGGAAGCGTTTTGGGTTTCTCATGTGCCAGACGGATCTCCAGGCTGGCCAGTTTTACATGCTATCGACGCTTTACTACGCCCAAATCCTGCGACCCTTGGATTCCTGGACTACCGTGAACAGAGCTGCCCTGTGTTGTGCGAGCATTCTCAAACGCACGTCAACGATCGATTATGAGATGTGGGAGGGGGACATGCTCTCGAGGCTCTTCTGGTGCACCTTGATGTACGAGACAGTGATTACACAGGAGCTGGATCTACTGCCCCATAGTGGGCTGTTGGACTACGAGTCAGATATACCTTTGCCAAAGTTTACACAATGTCCACGACCTAAGACGTTGATTTCGGGACTACTCAGCGACGAAGATGATTCTCTATTCAACTTCCATTTTCTTGCCCAAGCCGCGCATCGCATCATTCTCACTCGGGTGAAGCAGAGTCTGTATACGTTCGCAGAGAAGGAAGGCTATCCTAGTGCCAGTCTGACAGCAGAAATGCATCACCAACTCGAGCAATGGCGGGAAAATCTTCCGCCAACACTTCAGTTCTCTGACAATGACGATGCGAGCGACCCAGCCAGCCCTGCGCATGTTATTGCAAAGGCCATGCTGCGCAGTCGCTATCTAGTCGCAAAGTTGCACATTGGACGGCCTTTTCTCTACAAAGCATTGCATGCGCCTGCATATACCAACGAGTCCGAGTACGACGAAGTGCGCAAGGGCCTTCGAGGTGGCATGTATTGGCCGACAACCATGGGCTTGTGTACACAAATGTTAACGGCTCTTCCTATAAAGTTTGGGTGGTGCTGCCAGTGTTTTGGGCAGGTTCTGCTGTTCCACGCCGTAGCGCTGTCTCCCGACGCCAAGTTGCGAGACACGTTACCTGAGGGATGGCGAGAATGGGTAGGGATCATGATGGCACTGATTCAGAGCTGTGCAGAGAGCAGTCCTGGTATCGCAAAGGACTATGAATTGTTGCGCTTGCTAGACGGATGAGTGTGTCTGGGTCGGCATTACTCAGAGTCTATGTATAGTAGGCACTAACCAGAAGGCTGCGGAGCTGACGGACCCCTCAACCAGGATCGCATGCTTAGAGAATACGTACGGCGCAATTGGTCGCCGTACACGACCGCGCCATATTATACGCGGTGCCACAGTGAGCAGACTCTAGCCACGCGTGGCGTGGTAGGCAATACAGACTACTGCGTAGGCGCTTTACGGGGGAAAGGTACGTAGTGCTGGAGGGGCACGGGGTTGGGTGGGATGTAGGCTTAGCGCCAATGGTATGTCTCCATTTGAGCTGGGTACGAGCGGCGGCTTGCGTGTACTCGCGATTACGGGAGGCGCTTGTTAGACTTTAGCTAGCAAGTTTATTTGAAATGGCACGACCTCGTAAATGAAAGGGGGCCTTGAACAGGGCAGCTGGCATCAGCCCAGTCAAGAGAGTCGATAGAGGAGTACGATAATGCCCAGCAGGCTGCCCAGAGGCCATACATACTATCTGCACTCGTACATGTGAATTCTCGCCTTGGATCGACAACTGGCAGCATCGCGGTTTCCTGGCGTTTCAGCCCTTTCCGTGCCGGCAGCTATCCCCGATTCACCCGCGCTAGTCCCGTCTGGGAACTAGTCGTCGTGCTGCATAACAAGGATACAAACCACTCCGGTCTGACACGCACTTCTCCTTTGGAAACACGACTACCAACAACTTTCTTACGCTCCTTTCGTCTTCCTTTGCTGGCTTCCGGACTCGATTTGTTGCGTCTCGCTACCCTTCCACACCTCTTACCTCGCCATTCACCGCCCTATTTTATTCCTGGGATATTCCTTTTGCCCTAGCGCTGCCGTTTTCCGTTCCTGGTCGGTTTGCGCAACCTAGGCTGTTGTATCCTACCCTCTGTCGACTCGAATTCCCTGCAGTCATCCCAATATTGCCGGAGTCTGCCTCGTGGCGCGCACATCGCGTACACCCTTTGTGTGTATCTGGACGCCGGAGAGAAACGATTGCGACACCTGCCAGTGCTGGAGTTGAGACAGCACCACAAAACCGGGCCTCTACGTGCCCTGAGGCGCTGCATGCCCACCTATTCTATCGAAATTCGAACAATTAGAGTCAATCATGGGTGATTACTCATACCAATCGTTGGCAAACCTGGGGCCGCAAGGCCGGTGGCGTCGTGTCTTGCTCGTCGCCATGGTGCCAATGGTGCTAGCATTTATTTACTACAGCACTCCCTCCTCATACATACCTGCTGGTCTTTCTTCTTCACCGTAAGAACACACTTCCACCCCGATAGTCTCGACCCCGCTGACATTCTCTAGATATCCACATACCCAAAATGTAACCCTACCACAAGACGATCTAACCATGTCGACGATAATAAAAGCCCTCTATGGCCCCGTATTACACCCAATAGATGCCCCAGAGTTCACAGATGAAGATGGAGATGTATACCGGTTATCCGGAGAACCGAGATTTAAGAGCAAGCTGGGGAAGAAGGTCCTTATCTTGGATATTGACAGTAGGCCCTTGACGGAGGAGGGCCAGCTTATGAACAAGCACTTGAAGTGGAAGGGCATGCGGTCACTTTCCGCCGGTATGCTGGGTCATTACATGTTTGGTACGTATTCCGGAGACGGATGTGGGGCACCAATGGATCCATGGCACGGCGCAATCTAAGCAATGCCTTGAAAGACCAAACCCCCACCTTTTGGTACGAATGGAACGCCCGCGCTAACATTTCAACAGCTCAAATACACGGTTACGACTACAAGTTTATCCGCGCACCCGACTATGAAGACCGCTGGGGCACCTGGGTCAAGGTACCCATGATGAAAGAAGCCCTCAAGACGCACGAATACATTGTCTTCATGGACTCAGACGTTATGTTCCACTACCCGCACCTCCCTCTCGAATGGCTCCTAAACTACTGGAACATGACCGACGACACCCTTGCCATGATGTCCATCGACCCCAACGAGCCCCAAAACTATGACTCAAAGGGTAACCGCTACCTCAACACGGGCTTCGTTATTGCCCGCCAGAGCAAGCGCACCCAGGAAATGTACAAGGCCTGGGCCGAGTGCCCCTCGGAAACCCGCTACAAGGGCTGCGCAAAGTGGAAAAAGGGCTGGGCCCACGAACAAGCCGCCTTTGGAAACTACCTCCGCTACGATTACGATCGTCCAGACGATATTCGCGTCTTGCCTTGCGTCGAGGCTAACGGTGCGCCTGAAGCGGAGAAGAGGGGTGGTTGCAAGGGCGTTTTCGTCAGGCACTTCTGGGTCGACAAGGGACTCGTGGCGAAGAGTCTTGCCGATAACGTTATGCAGTATTTCTTGCCGAGACTGCATGAGACATATCTGGCATCGTCGAACGAACACATTGTTGATGCCAAGGGATATAGGCTTGAGGGCGCGGAGCTGATTGAGATGACGGATGCGGAGAAGGAGGCCGCGAGGAAGGGCAAGGGCAAGAATCAGAAGGATGAGGGATGGTAGTTTTTTTCATTTCTATCATTCTTTTCCTTCTTTTCTTTGACTCCTTTTTCTTTCTCATTTTTTGTTTACCAACGTTTTGCCCTGGGTATGATATGTGCGGTTTTTCTGATGAGCAAATATTTATAGAAGAACGGGAAGTGGCAGATTCACCATGTCTGCATCTTTCTTGTTTTGCATGTATGTACGTTTTTGGGGAGGGAGGTTGGTTCTGACGGCTTCTTTTTTTCGGGAGTTTAAGTCCTAGGATTACATAATATGTATGAAATCAATTGGGTATAACTATTGCAATATGGACCCTGCGGGGGCAGTAACTGATGACTTTGTACATGAGATGTGAGTTCACCCTTGAGTTCTCGCTGCCACGATAGTGAACCTTTTGCCCATACATGCCCTTCATTTCGCCATAGAGGTTCTCTCTTGTTCCGCTGGATGTTCATCCTAAGAAACGAATTATGATCTCCCCTTTCTTCAGTGTTGTACCACAGAAAACGTCCTATTGTGTGGCGCAGCCGCACAAAGTTGATTTCCCTCTCGCGCTCTTCCAGTAGTCTGCAGATTTTCGAGGTGCGGATATATTGGCCTGAGGTGCCGTATCTTTCTCGCACATGAAGGCTTCGGCCATGGGTAACCAGTTCTACGCAAAAGATTGAAATCAATCAACATGGTGTTTTGTTTGTAGTAGGATTCTTGGGCGAGCGACGCCAAATTCCTGTTTCTGGTCGCGATCAGAGGAAACAGTTGATCCTCTAAGTCTGTTTTGTGTGCCTTTTCTAGATCAAATTCGGCAACAACCAGAATTCGGAAGTGAGTAAAAAACTTGTCGGGGATGAGCAGTTGTGATAGAACCTCCAGCTTAAGCTCATTAGGAAGCTGAGGTCAGTCGTGAAAAGTGGTTGGCGCTCCATGAGCTACAGGCGACCCCTCAACCTTGGAAAAGCCAGGAAGCGTTGTCATGGTACATTTAGTGCAGACTCAGCCGTCTTAAAACTGTTGTTAACAATTGAAAGAGTTATTAAGATGGAAATATTTAAGGCAACTCACTGATGATTCCAGCTGTTACAGATGTTTGCGCAAGTTGGAAATGCAGAGTGTGAGGGGACTAGTTGAGCTTTGAGTATATCGTGTTGAAAGATGGTGGGAGACCTTGAACCTAAGTGCCAGCGCTGCAGGTGAGACATGAGTACGGGCAAAAAGGGAAGGGAAGTAATTGCTGCTTATTCAAGGCGAAGGTACTCTCACTCATATTTGTTGTGGCAGTATGAGAATTTGGTCCGCCAATTATCAACCAGGAAAGACAGCACTGGAGATTTGATTTATTTACACGCACGTTTGTCTTCTTGTATACAACCAGAACAGACTAACTTGCTACCAATGAAATCAATCCCATTTCATGCTAATATCAACTAGTCAAGGTGTTTTCAGCACCCCTAGCCACTACCGTCTCACTTCCACAACCATGGTTAGATACTGCAAGCAATGAGTAGCAGTATATCTATGTGGCATCCAGAAGTATGAAAAAAAAAGACCTAAATATTACGCATGCGATGAGGTACAAAACGCCCCACGCCAACATTCCCGCTTAATTCCACATCTTTTTACGCTTGCACGATGGGTTTGATCAAGCTCTCGCGGCAATGGCGCACTACACCTATTAATCACGCTCGACTAGTCGAACGACCATTTTACGCATCAATTTCTCGGCTTGCTCCTCTTCTACCACCACCGCATCCTCCTCCGCCTCCTCCGCCACCACCAACTCTTTCACCTCCATCACTTCCACTGCTACCAGCACGACCGCCGTCTCTGCCGTTGCCTTTGCCTGCATTCCTATAAAATTGGAACTACGTCAGTATCCCCGATCGAACGCGCATACTTGAAGTAACTTCAAAAAAGGTCTACCAGCAACCCTGTGCGACACACGAGAGAAAACTGCACTGTCTAAGAAGCACTATGGGCACCACGCGAGGATCCATGCATATCGGGAATGACAAAAAAGGCCGTGCATCACAATCCCATCTCACGGTCCTACTTTCTTCTAAAAAGAGTCTAGAAAAAGCCGATAGGGATACTAGAAAAGCCTAAGAAACCATCTTTCTACACCTCATGCTCAATATCCTCCACCCTTGGCACCTTGTGCAAACTAACACCACAAAACCTCGCCGTAAGCTCGCACTATGTCGATTCGTCAGCTCAATCGTCGCTCCGAAGAAATGCAAGCCCCAAGAGACATTATGTACGTAGTCTTGCAAACGGAGTGAAAAGGAAGGGAAAGGGGGGAGGAAACATACACACTCCCGAATAACCTCAACATCCTCCTTCGCCACCCCAATCCTCCGCAAACCCCGCAGATGCCACGCCGATTCGCGAGTGAGATTCTGCATGAAGATACCCGTCAGGACTGTTATTTCCGTCTCGACATCGTTGAGCACACTGTGATCAGACAGAAAGAGTCCGTAGGTGATGTTTTTGGTAAGCCAACCTGGTAAACCCATACATCAGCATCCTCATCTATTCTCCTCTTTCTTCTTGAGCAAAAGGGAGGAGAGGGAAGATCGTACCAAAATCCTTATTAGCATCCAAAGTATTATTAATCGTACCCTGAAGATTATGCTTGTACAACCGTCCCAACCACGCTTCGCCGCGCTGCAAATTCGCTTCGTCGCATTGCCAGCCCTCTCTGTTCACACCCCCTCCGAGTTAGCACGTCGTCTCAATTGCCCTTTTATACAACACTTCAAAAACTAAGATGAAAAACAAGCATGAGAAAGGAAGGGGAGAGCAGGAAGGGGGACATCATACCGCGTAGCCGTAAAATCCCTATCCTCCTCCCTCTCCACCGCAGCATCAATATCAAACACCGCCTCAAGCGGCTTGCACACACCCACGATAATCACGAGTTTAAACAGTACCTCGCGCATGCGCCGCAGCAGCTTCTGTCTCTCCTCTGCACTTTGGTACTCGGGCCGCGCAATCAGGTGTTTGTAGAGGCAAGGCGCGAAGTTGGATTGGCCGCCGCTGACTATGGCTGCAAGCTACATTTTTGACACATACGTTTGTTAATGGGGGGTTTGTTCGCGGTGGGGTACTTTGTGGAAGGGGAAAGGGATGGATTAGACTTACAGCGAGTAGATACCACTTATCATCTCCAAGCGCTCTAGCCGGGAACTTTTCTTCAATCGCTTTGAATAGCGCGAGAGCTTCGTCGGTGGTGGGGTCGCGGGTCGCGGGTGTCGAGGTGGTAGTAGTAGCCATCTTGATTCCGTATGATTAATCTTGCTTTGAGAATTCCGTCAAGTGAAGAAAGACCACAGAGTTTGTTTTGTAAGGGCAAAAAAATTTGGATGTGAGAGATACAAACGTTGTTTTCTCTTGCAAGTCTCTTGTCATGTCATGGCTTTTTATTTAGGGCTTGAGCTGGCCAGATTTCGGGACTGCACGGGAGGGTAGGTACGTAGTACGTACACATAAGCATTGGAGGGTGGGGCGGCCGGAGTGTCCAACGCGCGCGCCGCCCTAAAGCGGGGTAGTGAGGCTTGCACTACATGGCTTTTGCGGAAGGGATGTTCCTCAGAGAAGGAAGCAAGGCTTTTGCAGATCATGTAGCTAGTATCCTTCTGAAATTAAAGAGAGCCATGGAATAGCTGCAATGTGCGAAGAGCAGATATACAAAACAAATACTTCCTTCGAGTGGACTATGCCTAAGCTTGAGAAAGGTGGTATCGCATTTCGCACCTTAATTGTCATCACTGTTGCAGTCCAACATCATTCTCAAAAAACATATCGCATCTTGCATGATTTGAACAAAAAACGAAGAATATAACATATACTATGAGATATGAAACATATACATCCCAAGCATCAAGGCCTAAACCCATCATCCTTACTAGAAGGTTCCGCTCTATACCGATTCTATACGCTAAGAAGACGCCAAAAAGCAAAGTAGCAATCTACTCTCCACTGTCTTTACTCAACTCGGTTGACCAATATCCCAAGCGGGGTCAAGGATATCAGCGTTGAACCAATCCAGCGATGGCTGCGACTGGAACAACTGCCACATCATGTTATCATTCCAGGAAGAAGCCATCATGCCATTGTTTGCATCGCCGTCGCTACTGGACATTATATCAGGACCATGGTTGAAAGGCATTGATGTAGGATATGCTGCCAAAGACGTGTTGGGATCCGATGTTGGTTGTTGCATTTGGTTTTGTGCGCTTGGGCTCCCTACCAGGGGCTTGCAAAGACCGAGAAGTGTTGCGCAGAGTCGATGCAAACGGTTGACGTATTTATTCTCTGTAACGAGGGACGAGATGCTATCAATGACATCTTCGAGAAGCTGAAAGTCGCGAGGATCAGAGGTTCCAACCACGTTGCAGAAGACGACAAAGAACGGACACAGAGGATGGGACAACAAAGTCCTATGTAATGTCAGCAAGCCATGCATAGCTCTAGATGCTACATCTTACCATGACAAATACGGGTCAAAGCCTTCGATGAAATGATCCAAGGTCCTTGCGAGCTGTTCGATCATCTTGACACATTCGAGCGCCTTCCGTGCACTCTGAAGACACTCTTCTCGCTCCAGATAGTTTGTCGTGACAGTGGGGCTCAACCTGTGGACAGATGTCAAGAGGGAGAAATACTTGAACTCCATGCTTTTGTAGTGAATAAGAGCGTCAGTCCTACTATCCAAGAGGTGCAATTGACGCTCCTACGCAGTAGTTAGTACCCTCGCACCAATTCTAATTACGGACCGGGTAGATTACCTTCTCCATCAGAATATATATGTCTTTCATCTGAGCTCTTAACTGGGCTACCTCTTCTTTCAGAGCACCCGGCAATCGTTTAGTGCGCTGAGGGAGGGACAAGTCTAGGATCTTGTCTTGCACAGAGATCAACTCCAGAACACTCATTGCATTTGAAGGGTCTGCTCGCAGTTGATCGTGAATCTTGATTTGAAATTTGGGAAGTGACCTCGGCCGAAGAAGCAACAGACTCATGGCACTATCGAGCTCTGCACAATGGGCAACTACGGCGTAAATCTCGCGCTCCTCGTCAGTCTCTGGTACGGTCTTGTCAATATTATGGTATCCGAGTGCTACAATGGTTTGTGACGCGTGAGCGGTGAGTTCCCAACACTGTACCGGATTGCCTATGATTTGCATCATGATGGCCTGTGTATGGTGAGCTACAAAGTAACATTGACAAGGCCAGATGACTTACTCCTGTCACCAAAGCCTGCACTAGAAGGAGCGAGGGTGAGGTCATGAAGCTTATGTTGTCTAAGGCGGTAAGTGCGGCTATTATGTGATCGTACTCCATCTGTTGGATTTGCTTTTGCACTGCAGCGCTTTTGGGTGCTTGTAACTGGCTGGCGTACATGACGGCAGCGGCTTGGAAATGGATTACAACCTTGTAGAGATTCAAGGTCTTGTCGTCGGCAGTGCCTGCCATTAGAGCAAGAGCGATTCTCTCAATGGCCTTGGTCGGTATATGGTCGATAGTATGATGGCGAACGGCGGCTTCACTCCGTGCCTTGAATTCATCTAAAGTGGCTGTCAGCCTGATAGTAAACCGCGAAGCAGGTGAACATACTTCCAAGAATGACATTGACAATTTCGCGCTGGGAAAGGTCTGTGGAAATGTGCATCGACCTGTCAAAAGTACTGCGGTCTGTCAAGTTTTGTGCAGGCGCATGTGACAATTGATCAACAAAGGACATGGCAGTCTCAAGAACCGAACGTTGGTGTCCAGATAGTAATCCATTGGTAGAGAGCTCTTTGGTGATGTGCAGACGAGCTTCGTTTGCTGTTTGTGAAGTCGTGTCAACTTCTGGCGTTGTCGGAGGTATTGACACTTCTTGGGAGCTAGTTGTACGCTTCCTTTTTGCTGGTCGATCGGGTATTGCTTCAGTGCTTGGCTTGACAGAGGTGTTTGTGATATCAGGCTCCTGGGTTGGGTTGGGAGGACTGCGATGAGCACCATGTAGAGAGTGTTCCAGGGAGGACAGTCTCTGTACAAGCGCTTGTATTTTATCATCGCTGTACAATCGTTAGATGTGAGCATGGGGACTTAACAAAAGTCTCCACAGTGGGGCAAGCGCAAAACTTGGTGTTGCCACTGCTGCTCTTGCTAAACGCGGTGTACTACAATGAGCGTGGGGTACTTACGTTCGGACCTTGGGTCGGGGAACACGCTTGTGCCTGTTTCGCAAGCACTCGGCCTTAGCCGCTACGCAGTTTGCACATGGCTCTTTGCGGTCGCATTTGACCTGGTGGCAGTTAGTGTCGGATGCAGGCCGTAGACAAGCTCCGAGACGGTTGACCAGCGTAGTTTGGTCAAAGCCATGGTCACTCGGCGACTACAAGGGGATTGTGGATAGAGTAAAGGTACCTTTCGGGAATGGCACAAGTCGCATGCGGGAACACCCCCGTGAGCAACCCAGTTCTCTTCTGGCATTAAGTAAGCTGTTTCTCGACGTATGTAATGTAAATTCTGTGAAGAGTCCAGCCACAGTGACTACTTGGGGTGTGCAGAGTGTTTGAACTCGGTGGTCTTGGCAAACTAACCGGAGAGAAGCCGCTCCGAGGGCCGAAGTGGCAGGCACGACCCTTGCAGCCTCAAACGACGCGTTGCTGCTTCATGATTTGCGCGTGGCCTCGTCAGCAAGCTCAAACCCTATCATAGCTTGATCAGATGATTTTGGGGTTAGTGGTATGGCTATGTGTCAGGAAAGCGTCTTTTGTATGGGCTTTGCAATTTCTCCTGTAAGCACACACGTCAGGCGGTACATGGTTGCCCAAAGCAGACAGGAAAAAGTGCTGGATTGGGAGTTGGCATTGTGAGGTGGTGCTGTGGTTGATCGCAAAAGAAAGCATATCAGTGGGAAAGTAGTGCATGCATCCAGGCACGGGGTAGTTGTGGCAGCGGCATGACGTGCATGCGGGTGAGTTGGCGTGTACATAGATACTACACACACCAGTTGGGAGGAAGGGGGCAACGTGAAGAAGAACAGCAAAGGGCAGGAAACTGGGTTTGACATGAACCCACCGTGTTTCTGTTTCAAGACGAGATGGATGTGCACACATTTGCACTGCACAGCATCCCCACTGTGAACGGGTGCTCCCGTGGGCTAGCCCTGTTTGGCAGGAGGAGCCCATCCGACGTGAATCCACCTGGCCAGAAGCAAGGGGATGCAGGGAGAAACTATGGGAATATGGCGGATTTGCGGGACGAGCGTTTATTGCGCGAATGGCAGGGCGGCGGGCGGACTGCAGATGACGAAATAGTCGGAGGGAGCACAAATACAGTACAGTCACGGAGTGGAGGTGCGGGCAGAGAACATTTTCTTTTACCTGATGGGTTCCACCACCAAACGAACGACGAATGGAAATGACACTGCCCGTCCACGTTTTCCCGAGCGTGGTCGGTTGGAGACGGTCTTGGTGCTGGATGAGTCAGCAGGGACGCGACGATGAGGGAGCGCAGTGCACACTACTAGTAGGATATGTGTGTACTACGGACGTAAGTAAGTATATAGGCAGACATGTCGGCAAGTAAGAATCTGCACCAGAATGTACGGAGATCGGTACATATGTACGGAGCATGTACATAACAGGGCAATTAATTGCTGCCGCCGTGTGTCATCCAAGCAAGGGGCCATGGTTGTGTGGCGCCGGGGGGTCAGCGTCGAGCCCAGCACTGGGGCGAGAGCGGGCAGGCTCTCAGAGACAACATGCAGCGGCGTCACCGCTCCATGGCCGGCGGCGGGGGCGCATTACTTACACAGACTGCGCAACCAGCAGCAACCAGCAGCATGGAATCTTCTGCGTTAATGGCACTATGTGGGCGACCCAATCAGCGCCCGTCCAGCGGCTGGCAGCGTGGGGGGACCGCGGCATCGTGTCTGTGTGTGTGCATGTCGCGATAAGGCAGTGGCGGGGCCCACAACGTCCCGCCACTCGTCCTCTGCGCCTGCCATTGGCTCGCGCCTGCCCACGAGCCGCCATTCTTATCTCTTCCTCCCGCCGAGCTCACACACACCCTCCCTCTCCCTCACACATGCAACCCTCCAGCTTTCCACCCACCCACTACCCACTACCCACTACCCACCATCCCCCCAGCCATTGCCATGACAGGCCTGCGCATCCCCGGCGCGGGAGCTAGTTCGGGCCCAAAAGAAAAGAGTACCTGCACACCCGCCATGGCCCACGCCTGCACATGCTGCTAAAGCCTCCTCCCACGGACGAGTGCTCTACTCTTTTCGTAGCCCGCCCTCCCTACTATTACTCCCTACCTACCTACATACATACACACACTCTACTTGCCGCGCCCAATCGCCCGTCTTTCCTCGTCCACCCACGGGCGCACACGTCCCAGTCCATCCCTTTGATTGTGCCTTTGCCCACTCGGATGCTCCCGTGTGCCCCGTCTGTCCGGCTCTGAGGGTGAGTAGTGGTCGACGATTGCTTATCTTGTGCCTCCAGCCGCCCAGGCTGCCCTGCCCACTTGTCTGTGCCTGTCCACACATACATATACATTAGTCGAGCCTGGCCACCCCCAGCTAACTCAACTGTCCCCCCATATAGCCACACGTCCACGCTCATTTCCCTCCTGCCCACTCTCTTGCTCTCCATCCCTCTTGCCGGCCTTCGATGAGCTGCCGGGTGCTTTCCCAACAACCACGCTACCATCACCACCGACCCAGGTCGACCCCCCATGTTCCTTGACAATACGCAACCTCCCACCCACCTGCCTGGAGAGCCGGCGGCGGCCCAAGACGCACAGCTGCCACGGGGAGAATGTACCTTCATCCTCTCGTCTCCGGCTGACAATGGCGCCCGCCAGCGCTGCTCCTGCCGCTGCTTCTATCCCGACTCCATGGTACGGTCGCTCTGCGGCTGCGGACACCAGGCCTGGATCCATGAGGCCGAGCCCGCTTCCGCCGTCTCAATGGACGCATACATGCACGCAGTAGACCAGATGAAGCAACTGCAGCGTGAAATCAGGCGCTTCGAGACGTTGGAGCACGACCTCAAGCAAGAGCTGTTCCGCGAGAGAATGGCGCGCGAAGAACTCACCAGGACCAACAATGCAGTCCAGGCTCGCATATACCAAAACATGCAGCTCTTGAAACTGTCCATGGACGATCGCGTCGAGGCTGTTGTGGATAGAACTACGGAGCTCAGCGACCAGATCAAATTGCAGGGTGAGCGCTTGACCATGGTTGATGAGTTTAGCATGGAGTTGGAAAACAGAGTCGATCGCATCGAGCAGTTTGGCGACATATCCAGAGGCCAAACACCTGCTCCTGCAACACCCAAACCACGCCGCGCAACTCCACAGGCACCGCCAGTGCCATCGCTACCAGCTTTGATGCAAGCAAACCATACTCTTGGCCAACTTCCCATTCGCAACGACAAAAAGTATCCCCTTTCGTGGAGCGCCCGCGTCATCTTTGTGCCTCGCAAGTTGCAAAAGTTCGCCTTTGATCCCGACAGCAATGCGTATCGACGGTGTGCATCGCGCAAGCTGCACCAAAATATTGAATTTCCCAGCCAGGACAGCTCCTGTTTCGCAAATCACATTGAGACTGCCTTCAAGGGTGTCTTCCGAGGAAGACCATGGATGCCAATGACTGGTCACCGGCCCGCAGACGAACCGTTTGGCCGCATGGCCCTTACGCTTTTGCCTCCTGATCTTGTGCACCGCGCAGTATGGGATTTCCCATTCCTGGAAGATCATTGCATCGCTCATGACAAGATGCAAGGAGATGTTCTTTACATCACTCTTCAATACGAAGACGTAACCTGGAACGAGATACGCTTCCTCCCTCCTGTCACTGGTGCCGACGACACTTGCTGGGAGCATGACGAGGAGCTCGACGGCACTGCCAAATACAAGAGCTTGGACTCAGAGATTATGTACGATTACCAGGATCCTCCTCCTACCTATTCATCTCGAACTCACTCCATGGCGACTAGGGCGCCTTCGGGACTGGACGTCCTTGCTAACTCGGCTGCTATGCTGAGTCCTATTGAGCGTATTCAGACGGCATCATCAACTCGCTCATCCAGGCCGGCTCCTTTGAGCCCCATCCAGCGTACCCCAACACGGTCGTCGAATCACTCTACCACTACCCCTCGCTTTTCATCTGAGCGGAGTAGCCTTCGTAGCTTTGATAACGAGACTACTGATGATGAGCACCGCGACAAGAAGCCCAAGCTGCGAATGAAGCAAAGCATGCCTCATGTCAGTACTGGCATCCATGCACAGCAACCCATGTATGTCTCGGGTCGCTCAAAGCGAAAGATGCCTGTAAGAGAAAAGGGCCCCAAGGAACCACTGCACTTCAGTGTCGCTGGCGTCGCCAAGGGTGGTCTTCACTTTTTACATCCGCGCTCATCAAAGGGCAAAGAAGTAGCTCATAACCCATGAAAAAAATGATGCTTAGTTCCGCGGAGCTGACACGAACATGTTTTCCTATGTTCATTTGGTAGAGGCGTTTATGAGTAAAAACCTCGCTCTTCAAGGATACCCATTGGCGTTGTATAGTATGAGTTCATATTTTTGTTTTATTCGAGCGCAGTTTTGTTATTGTCTGGAGATTACTGGATATCGCACGTATTTATAGTCAACATTGGTCGGGCATTATGGCCTGTCTTTCTTTTCTGTTCTGTTCTCAACTATAGACGGTGGGAAGATAACAAGCGTGTCATTTTTGTTTGCTTTCAGGCAGGCTTTGTGCTAGCAGGAGATACTACAAAAAACGCAATTCTACTTGTGCAACACACGACCCAGTGCCATCTTGTCTTCCTCGACAAAATACTTTCCTATATCTTGGCAGCTTTCATTTTTTGATAAGGAGGCATTAGCCGTGTCCTCATTTGCAACCTGCAATCTAAAGTTTTGCTCTGTCCGGGAATTTGTCGTGCTGCTGTGGAGCAAAAGATTGAACAGGATTACTGTGTAGTGACCAAAGCATGATAACAAATACTCTTGATTGATAGCCGCTATCGCACGCTTTCTTGTGCAGCCGAGGCACGGCGCGCTGATAACGGGGCCCCGCCGATTAAATAGTGCCAAGATAAGATGGAGAGAGTTTACCGCTCTGGAGATTTACCAGAAATGACTGTATAGGATTTGAATGCATGTTTCTTGTCATATGTCTGTGTGGCGTCTTCTTTGTGCGTCGAGATATTAGTGCAGCATGGCAAATCGATTGGTCCATTTTGTCCCATACGTTGTGGGCAGTACTGTTCAATAGGAATATAGAAAAGTCAATGAGAGAAATGTCACAGTCGATATCTGACATAGCTATGAGATATCATGTTCTTCATTTGTTGTTGTTCGAGACAGAACCGCAGCGCCTTCTCCAATTCTTCGTCCATGTCCGTGATGCGGAGAAAGGTAGTATCAGTGGAGCCCATACCACCTACCCCACCTCCACTCCAACCATACCCACAACCATGAATCTCTTCAGCCTTACATACCTACCAACTGCGAATTCCAACATAATTGGAAAAAATTATCTGGTGCGCAAAATTCAGCTTGCACTTGCAAACAGACAAACTAATAAGCGACCCTATGGTTGAAATCTCAAGCCCTTCTCTCCGAAATCGCTTCCCAAAGCGGCCCGTTTCTTATCATCTGCTAACCCTTTATCTCCGCTCCGCACTTCATCCAACCCCAAACCCCTTCTGATCCCTACACGCCGATCCCGCGTTGAACGGTGCAGCAGCCCCCCGAACCACTCACAGCAGGCGTGTCACGAGGGTAACATAAGCGGTATTGGTCAAAACCTGGAAAGGGTTACGTCGCGGCGAACATGTGGCTGCACAGGGATTGAGCTTAGCGGATACACCAGGGCAGGCGTGTTGATGTAACTCCACGGCGAGAGAGGTTGCACGACTGACTGACTAGCAGGTTGGATGATACGGATTGTGATCTGATCGGTCGTACAAAAAGGTTGCTACTTCCCAATGCCTTGATTCTTCTTCCCATCGTCGCGTTTCGTGGTGTTCTTCTTTCCTTCTTGGTTCATTACCACCCCAACCTGTTGGACCCTCGTCTCGAGGACAACTTGAATCCGCATCCTACAACCCCGCCATTACAATCGCGCAGGTCGAGAAAAAAATGTCGGAGAACCAGGACCCGGAGTTGGCGAAGGGTGATGCCCTTAAAGTTACTGCTTCGGCTTCATCGTCCAAACATCCGGTTCCTGTCGAAGGCACAACACAACACCTCCCCACCTACGAACACGAAAAGGCTTTAACATGGAAACTCGATATCCGCATCTTGCCGATGCTAGCTGTGATGTACTTGTTCAATGCTCTTGACAAGGGCAACCTAGGTAATGCCAAAACGGATGGTATGGATAAAGACTTGCATTTCAAGGGGAATCAGTATAATATCATGCTGAGCATCTTTTACGTGCCATACGTAATTTTTGCACCCCCCGTTGGCATGCTGGGAAAGAAGTACGGTCCGCACCGTGTACTACCGATTATGATGTTTTCTTTTGGCAGTGCAACGTTGTTGGCTGCCAGTGTGCATAATTGGAGTGGCATGATGGCGTTGCGATGGTTTTTGGGTAAGTCACGTGACGTGTGAATTCACAAATTCGAGTATATGAATGTTCATGGACTAACTGGGTGTATAGGAATGGCAGAGAGCGCCTTTTTCCCTCTAGTCATCTACTATCTGACCACTTTCTACCGCCGTGGCGAACTCGCACGACGCCTTGCTATTTTCTACGCTGCTTCGAACATTGCGAATGCGTTCTCTGGACTCCTCGCTTTCGGCGTATTTCAAATTGAGTCGAAATTAGATTCCTGGAGATATCTGTTCATTATTGAGGGCTCTCTCACAGTTCTTTTTTCCTTCTTCGCATACTGGTATCTCCCCAAGAATGCGTACGAAGCCAAGTTTCTCAACGAAGCGGAGAAAGAACTGGCCTTCACCCGTATTCAGATTGACTCTTCGTCCGTCGTCAACCAAGAGTTCAACCTGAAAGACGCACTCGGCATTTTCAAGGAACCGTCGACATACGGATTTCTCCTCATTGAAATCTGCCTTGGTGTACCCTTGCAATCGGTATCGCTCTTCTTGCCGCAGATCGTGGGTAGATTGGGCTACGACAAGATCAAGACAAACCTTTACACAGTCGCACCAAACGTCGTCGGTGCCTGTGTTCTCCTCATCCTGGCCTTTGCCTCAGATTATACGCGTCTTCGGTCCCCCTTCATCGCCCTCGGCTTCCTCCTGACTTTCATCGGCTTCATCATCTATGCCACCATTGATGTCGAGCACTCGCTTACTGTCGCCTACTATGCCTGCTTCATGATGACGTGGGGAACATCTGCGCCTTCAGTGCTGCTCTCTACATGGTACAACAACAACGTCGCAGACGAGAACCGACGTGTGACACTTACCTCTGTTGGTGTGCCGCTGGCAAACTTGATGGGCGTTGTTAGCTCGAACATCTTCAGACCTCAGGATGCGCCAGCGTACATTCCAGCGCTGGCCACAACGGCGGCGTTTGGGGCCACAGGCTGCTTGTGTGCGGTGCTGTTGGGCACGTATATGATGATTGATAACAAGAGGAGGAATGCTCGCCAGGGCGTCAATCTCACCGCCAAAGACGTATCGACAGAGAAATTGAGAGATGGACCAAAGAACCCAGAATTCAGATGGTTCTTGTAAGATTTGCTTGTGGGCTTCAATGGGAAAAGTTTCAATCGCGAATTATTTAGACGGGACATAAAACCTAGTGTGCAAAGACAAATTGTTCTACATGTAGATAATACGGTGTAAAAAAGAATGCTGTACGTCGAACAAGAAATCGTGTACATTGCGAGCTTGAGCCAGGGGACGGAAATGCTCCTGAAGCCACCGTGCCTGACATGGTCACGCGTCCCCCGGTTCCCCGAATAAGCACGAGACAAGCGCGGAGGCTAGCGCATTGTCGTGTCTGCCTTGCCGCCAACTTGGCTCAGCAAGTACAGGATGGGAAACGTAGAATGACGGAACATGATCAGACTATATGCTACACGGCTACAAGAACATGGACAATCGTGGATGAATAGACCACACATGCAGCAGCTGTAAGTAAGCATCAGTCTTGGAGGGATCGACGGGCTCAGCGTTAGCGCCATCTCTTATCGCCGAGGCTGGTGCGGCGGCTCCTACATCATTCGTCGCGCAACCTCACGCGCCTCACTTGCGGCCCCGAACCATCACGGGTCCCAGCTTGGAGCTTAAAGCTGCCTAGCACCCTGTTGTCGCCGAGACTATCTATACTCACTCCTCTATCCATCCTTCTTTCTCCATCATTCCTGCGCATAGCGCTCTTCTCTCCTTGTAAGCAACGACTCATTACGTTGCATCCGATACACATCCGATCATTCTACGAGCGTTAGTGAGCTCTGAGAGCCCCAACCTATCCTCATCATGGTGGTCAAAGCAGCGGTGCCATTTCTCGTGGCGATGATGCTGTTGACGGGTGTATGCAATACACTGTTGACAAAGTATCAAGTATGACAACCCCCTTGGCATGAGTCAATGAGCTGGAATGCTGACGCCTGTGACCAGGACATGCAATGCGTCAAGAACTGCGACTCGCCCTCGTCGAAACAAAAGGAACACTTTGAGCAGCCTGTCCTCCAGACGCTGCAGATGTTCATTGGAGAGATGGGCTGCTGGCTTGTCATCGGCGCGTTCACTCTCTACCAGCGATACGCGACTGCGAAGGCAGGCTACGAACCCGTTCCTGGCTCGGCTACCCCGGCTTCAGATGATGTTAGCGAGACAACTCCTATTGTGAACCCGTTGAAGCCTGCGCATCCCGATGATGAAGGTAGGATCCCGCTACAAGGAAAGAGCATCTTCCTGTTGGCACTTCCAGCGTGCTGCGACATTGCCGGAACTACGCTCATGAACGTTGGACTGCTGTTTGTCGCAGCTAGTATCTACCAGATGACCAGAGGCGCGCTCGTGCTCTTTGTTGGTCTGTTCAGCGTGTGGTTCCTCAAGCGTCATCTCGGACTGTACAAGTGGTTCTCGCTCTTTGTGGTTGTGACGGGTGTTGCAATCGTTGGACTCGCTGGTGCCATCACCAGGGATGACAAAGCGACGCCTGGCCATAAGTCGATTCACGACTCTGTTGCTGGATCAGAGGCCAAGGCGGCTGCTTCTCAAGCTGCCATGACTGTCATTGGTGTCTTGCTTATTGCTGGCGCGCAGATCTTCACTGCCACTCAGTTCGTACTTGAGGAGAGGATCATGGAGAAGTACTCCATGGAGCCCATCAAGGTTGTTGGCTGGGAAGGTGTCTTTGGATTCCTGGTCACATTCATTGGCATGATCGTTTTGCACTTGACTATCGGAACTGGGTACTTCAATGCCAGAGAGGGCCTGTACCAGATGTTCCACTACCGCGCCATCGCCGTATCCTCGGTATTGATTATGATCAGTATCGGGTATGTATATTTCGTCTTCTCTGGTGCGATATTCACTAACTTTGTGTAGTGGATTCAACTTCTTCGGTCTCTCTGTTACCCGCACCGTCTCCGCTACTTCGCGTTCGACAATTGATACTTGCCGCACGCTCTTCATCTGGATCGTGTCGCTGGGACTTGGCTGGGAAACATTCAAGTGGCTGCAGGTTCTCGGTTTCGCTCTGTTGGTGTACGGAACCTTTTTGTTCAACGACTTGATCCGCCCACCGCTAAAGGCGTGTGTAGAGAGGCACCACGAGCCTCTGCTACCTGAGGAGCCGATTGAGCACCACTAGTTTAGGCGATGCAAAGTAGACGGGTAAAGACGCATTGTGCATGCGGAACTTGGAGGGTGGCGTTTTTCGGGCGCACTGGCAGAACCTACAGAATGTCTTTGTTTTTTCACTATATTAAATCATATTCTATCATATCATTAGCCCCAAAATTACAACGACTTCACACCTCTGCTTATCTGAGTGTGGCAAGGCATATCGTGGCTATCTTATCAGCTTTGTGGCTGGTGACCTATGTGGTCTGTGCTTTATTTAGCGCGCACTCACCTCGCTAAGGACGTCGATTTCGTATGTGAGCATCTCGACTTCGATAACAACGGCTCGACTTTTCTGAACACCCACGCCCGGAGTTCAGTTACGCCCATCGACAGTTCGACAAAATGGCCACCACTCAAACCGCAATGTGAGTATCACCGCTCGCCACCGCGGCAGCCAAGCGCGCAATTAGGAATGGCTACTGACGGCATGCAGCTCCAAGAGGAGAAAGTTCGTTGCTGGTACGATATACCCTTTCCACAGTCAGAGGATGGAGAAGAAAGAGTTTGGGAGAGAATCAGAGGCACAGCTACATTGAGTCCTCGCCGCCAGGGCCGTAGTGTGTCGGATGCGAGATGTCGAAATAGTGCGCACACAGGAATAGTTGGCTAACTCAACACCTACAGACGGTGTTTTCTACGCCGAGCTGAACGAGTTCTTCCAGCGCGAGCTGGCCGAGGAGGGCTACTCCGGCGTCGAGGTCCGCGTCACTCCCACCGTTACCGACATCATCATCCGCGCCACACACACCCAGGAGGTTCTTGGAGAGCAGGGTCGCCGCATCCGTGAGCTCACCTCGCTTATCCAGAAGCGCTTCAAGTTCCCCGAGAACTCCGTCTCCCTCTACGCCGCCAAGGTCCAGAACCGTGGTCTCTCCGCCGTCGCCCAGTGCGAGTCCCTCCGATACAAGCTTCTCAATGGTTTGGCTGTCCGAAGGGCCTGCTACGGTGTGCTGAGGTTCATCATGGAGTCTGGCGCCAAGGGTTGCGAGGTCGTCGTCTCCGGAAAGCTCAGGGCCGCCCGTGCTAAGAGCATGAAGTTCACTGTATGCATTCTTGTTGTCGTCGTTTTAGGGCTGGTATACTAACAAGCGCAGGACGGTTTCATGATCCACTCTGGTCAGCCCGCTAAGGACTTCATTGACCACGCCACCCGCCACGTCCTGCTCCGCCAGGGTGTGCTCGGTATCAAGGTCAAGATTATGCGCGGCTCCGACCCCGAGGGCAAGGCCGGCCCATCCAAGTCTCTTCCCGACGCCGTTACCATCATCGAGCCCAAGGAGGAGCAGCCCGTTGTCCAGCCCATGTCGCAAGACTACGGTGCCAAGGCCATTGCCGCTCAACAGGCAGCGGAACAGGCCAGGCAGGCTGAGCAGGGCGAGGGCGAGGCCCAGCCAGCTGGTGAGGGTTACTCTGGTGAGCAGTAGGTTTGATCTTTACTGCGGGCGCAATGAGGTTACGAAAAAGGCATTTAGCGAAAGGTTATGATGCCGTTACGAACCCTGACATAAATTCCTTTGCACTTTCGGAACGGGCTGAGCTGTTTTTGGTAGGGAGGGAATAAGGAGTCTCTACTGCTTCACTGCTATGTACTCAATGAAACCACCCAAATATCAAAGATGGCTTTGACCAACTGAAGGCTTTTCGTCGCATCGCATTTGTTTGTTCTTTTACATTTATGTCTGGGTTGTCAGTTCGGAAAAGTTGTAGTTGATGGTATTTCCTAGTCATGTTCTCTTTACCCATGTGTCGCGTCTCATGCGTTGCCCTATCGGGACATGATCCCGGGTCTTGAGTTCGGAGTTACTACCCCTCTCACCGCGATACCTAGCATGTCATCTGTTTCGAAACACTGCAGGTCTATACAGTGGGCCTCATGACCCTAGGTTTAATTGGCGGAAGTAATGTTCACGACACTTTATTTTCGGGTCTTTGCGACGTTCTGGAGCATGATATGACCAAAATAAGGCAGGCGGATCACCAGTGCCAGCCGTTTGTCCGTTAGCCATGTATTACAGGACCTTAAGAAGTGGATGTTCAGGCATTGTATATATATTGAGCATCATCCTTTGCGTGTAGAGTTGTTCTGAGCCGCCCTTCACTCTCTCGCACTCTGACACGACCGCCCACGATGCGTCTCACCCACCTGATCTCGACGCTGCTCTGCGCCAGCAACACGGTACTCGCGGCGCTCCCCTACAAAGGCGTAGACTGGTCCTCCCTCCTCGTCGAAGAAGCCGCAGGCAAAAAGTACAAAAACTCCGCCGGCACCGTGCAACCCCTCGAAACCATCCTCAAATCCTCGGGCGTAAACACCGTCCGCCAGCGCCTCTGGGTCAACCCCTCCGGCGGCACCTACAACCTCGACTACAACCTCAAGCTCGGCAAGCGCGCCCAAGCCGCCGGGTTGGGTATCTTCCTCGACCTGCACTACAGCGACTCCTGGGCCGACCCGGCAAAACAAGTCACGCCGGCTGCATGGCAGAGTCTCAACCGCGAAGCCCTCATCAAGCAAGTCTACGATTATACAAAGAACGTCCTCGATACCTTCCAGCGCAACGGCGTTCCCTTGAAACTCGTGTCCATCGGCAACGAAATTACTCCCGGTCTCCTTTTTCCCATTGGAAAACTCTCGGGCAGTTCCAAGGGTCCGGCGGCAAATGTCGCTGCGCTGCTTAAATCCGCGAGCCGCGCTATTAAAGAGTCGAGTATGAGTCCGAAGCCGAAAATCATGATTCATCTGGATAACGGATGGAATTGGGAGACGCAGAAGTGGTGGTATGATCTTGTGCTTGGATCGGGTGGCGGGCTTTCGTTGTCCGATTTCGATGTCCAGGGTGTGTCGTATTATCCGTTTTACAATGCGGCGGCTACGCTGGCGGCGGTGGGGTCGTCGTTGAGTAACATGGCGAGCAAGTATGGGAAGGAGGTTATGGTTGTTGAGGTATGTATTCCTCTTTTTTTTTCTTTAGAAATTTGGGGAGAGTTTTTTTGTGCGGGTTTGGAGAGGGTAAATGATTTGCTGACTTGAGTTTGTACAGACTAACTGGCCGTCTTGGTGCCCAAATCCAAAGTATGCGTTTCCATCGGATACTAAGTCCATTCCTATCTCGGTTGATGGACAGACGACCTGGATGAAGGAGGTGGCTAAGCGCGTGGCTGGCGCTTCGGGTGGAAAGGGTACGGGTCTTTTCTACTGGGAGCCTGCGTGGATTGACAACGCGGGCTTGGGTAGCAGCTGTGGATGGAATTTGATGTTTGGTGATGACGGCAAGGTCATGAACAGTTTGGCCGTATTTGGATCAATCTAGATTCTTGGATTGGAGACGAGAAATGGGAAACGAGGAAGAGACGGAAGGAAGGATTCAGTGTACATATTTGCTACAGTTCGACATACATACATACCACCAGCGGAACAAGACGAGTTGCACAGCTTTACTGGTCAAAGTTCTTGACTTCAGGCATCATACCCAAACCTTTGCCTTCCTGCTGCTTTTGGCCTTCGCCTTCAATCACGCCGCCTGCCTTCCTTTCATTGACATGCTTCCTGAGTAGACTAAGAATCTCACTGCCCTTCCACCTGGTGGGAACAGGTCTGTACGCAGGCTTGAAAGTGCCCACAGTCTGCGCCCATTCGCCCTCTCCAGGATCCCTCTTGCGCTCGTCCTTTTCTGGCAACTTGGTCTGCGTCGCCGCATCCAAGCCCTGTGCGTTAGAGGTAGACAAGGTCGAACCACCCCCCTCGGCTGTCTCGTGCGATGTGGGAGTGGGCTCTTGCGTCGCCCAGTAGTAAATGTCCCAATCGTTTTCGTCGAGGAAAGTGTCGTATTGCTGCATGAGGGAAGGAGACATGGTGCCGAGATGAGCATCAGCGAAGGTGCTGAGCAGGAGGTCACTCTCTAGTGTTCCCCTTTTGCGGCTCTGGTCTACTTGACGTTAGCTGACATTTCCAATAATGCATCGTGGTGCCTTGAACATGAGCAAGCATCATGTGAAGCACGAGCCGGGGAATCGTAGGAACCGACATAATAATCTTGCACGCATCGTGTTCGCGTCCTCGCCCGTCCGCTTCAGTGGCTCAACCTTGAACTTGGCGCCTTCCATCTCGCCGACACCCAGCTCGCTGTTGGTTCCACTCACATCTTGAGCCTTGCTACTCTGTGTGCCACCAGTCATACGCTCAGTGTTCTCAGGTGAAGAGTCCTTTGGCGCAAACTTGTCGTCCACCTGAGTAATCAACTCTGGCGGGGCAGAGTCTTTGCCAACAGATGGCATTTTATTGGCAATAGTCGAGGCGGAGTTGGTCAAGTGCGGGTTCAGAGGCTTCTCAATCTGGTACTTGCGGTAGGTTTCCGAGGTGTCGTTTGTGCGCTTGTTGAGCGCATCGAACTCGCCATTGCGGAGTGGAGCGATGCTGAAAGTGCGACATTGAGTGCGCTGGAGCGAGAGAAGAGCTCGTGACGAGCGGGTAACAATTCTGGAAGACGCCATTGTAATGTGTATTAAAAGAGTACGTTGAGGAGCGTCAATTGCACTTTACAGTGGAGGGATAGTGAGGTGGGTTACCGAGGACGATGGAAAACGTCACTGGTCCGAGCTCTTGGATTACTAACGCGAAAATGATCCCTGCTGATCGGTTTAGAGAGTCTATTACTCCTACACATCGCCCAATAGCATGTCTTCATCAGAATTCGGCATATATTCTGATGATTTTGTTAATGACATTATGCAATCGATATTCTGGGGATTTCTACTCGAAATCATGTTCTCCGAAGTTAAGCGTAAATCTTGTCGAAACCCAAAATGCATAACTACCGAAATTCATCGTCATATGAAAGCTAGAAGCATTTTTTCTACCTGTATAGTACATTTTACATTGTATCCTGTGAGTTGCTTCACGTAGGGAAATACACTCTGCGTCAGCACCTCAAATTCGCCAAAGGCAAGCTGCAAGAAACATGTGCAGGGACAAACATACTATGCATGCGGCTTATGGGTTTTAACACATGCCCGTTTTAGTTGATGCATAGTAACGACGCTTTTACCTGATCAGCGGCAACAGCACACAGTTATCCTCGAAAACACATCAATGAAGCGGCAATATCCGCTGTAAACTCAATAACACGAAGTTCATTGATCTCTTGTTATATCGCTGAAAGTGCGTATCAACAAACTCAACCTAAATCCCACAAGTCAAATTAAGTGCCAGCACCTTGAAGTAAATCAACGATCCAGTGCACGCACACATGTGAACAAAAAATGCAACTCCAAGTTGTAGACCCCCAGCATCAAGAGTAATATCGCAAGCAGCTTCATGCATCGCCCCGAACCCCTCAGCGTTCCAGACCCAGCTGAGCTCAGCTGTTGCCGGTGCTAGTGTAGCCACACGCTCGTCACGAGCCATGGTGTATGTGCACAGGATCAGGAGTCGATACACTGGTCGCATTTCCCAGTTCAGGCTCCTGATTTGCTTCTGGGCCGAAAAAGTGGGGTTTTCCGGATAGGTGCCGCGGACGTGGTGGTCGTTACCAAACACCTACCACACCTCTGTGCACGCGAAACGCGCGCCCTCTCTAAGCGAGGTCGCGATCTAGAGTCGGCTGCGGTTGAAACCCTATCGACTCTGTCGCTTCGACGGAATTTGCCATCACAATCTTGTATGAAGCTGATGGTTTCAGTGTTGTGCGCATTAGGTGACTGGGTCACTGAACAAGGAGGGGGTGAAGAGCGGTGGCGAACATGAGTTTAGGGAATGATCATGTGAAAAACGGCGTTGGTGGACTTCGACCATGCTGCCGGCGCATACGTGCCCAAGGAGATGGAGACGAGTCCGCCATCGGTCCCCGCGGAGGAACTCCTCAGCCACATAACCGACACTATGGTATGACTCTCCGATCAACGTGGGAAAGCCACCAGTCAGTTATTTTTTTATCCTGGACAAAAACTCCCTTCTTTTACACCTCAACGGCCTCGAGGCTTAGAGTTCCTCGGAGACGTCGTCGCGAGCTGAGAAGCTGCAGGTCCTGCTGACCTACCAGTCCTTTTTCAAGAGAAAAGAAATGAAAAACAAAGACTGGGAAAGTCGCAACACTTCTGGTCGCAACAATTTCGGGGTATGCCGTTGTGCACGTTTGAGAATGGCTACTTTGTTTTGCCGGTTGCCATCTCGATGACTGCGAATGCGAACATGGCATGATGTTTGAGCGTTTTGTTGACAACAGAAGCATCTCGGCATATCCGAGTATCCATAATTGCTTCCTGCTCGCTTGGAAACGCTGCCTAGTGCACGGGTACCTTGCATTCGTCCGCTGCGCAACGATATCGTATGATGATGCGTCCAGGTACCGGTAGATTAGTGTGTATCATTATTGTGGGAAAAGCCAGAGAATTTTGTGGCTATTTTTTTGAAGAGTTGTCGGGCGTAATGGGGAGCTAATGGATTCGGCAATTTCTTGGAAGTAGAGTGATGAATGCAATGTGCATTGCACAAAACTGCTGATGATAGATTCAATCGATCATCAAAAAATATAGAAAAATGATGAAACGCAGAAACACCAATCCGCAGTGGAAACGTTCAGTAGGCTGTATCAAGACTGTATTTGTGAGTGAATGGACCACCAGTAGCCATGCAAAGGTATCTTGAGAACATGTATGGCTCTTCCGTGACTCAATTCGTTTCTCGATGCAGGTTACAATACACAATCATGCTTCTCAGCTTCTCTATTTCCTGATTATTAGAGCCGATCTGGGTTCATATTTATACCAACCATGTAGATGCAGTATTCATCACTTTGACAACTTCCTATACCAAGTGTCAGATGTGCTGTAGTAGGAAACCCAAAATAGCCTAACCCAATCAAGCGTGTATGGAACTCCAGAATCAGGGTGTTGTATATGCCAAGGGATTCCTAGAGTCCGGTCCCCTAAAACCCTCATAAACATGGACGTGAACGGCCCTAGGACCAGCGAGCGGGTCAGGCCGTCGCTGGAAATGACGTCCAGCAAGTTCACCAAAAAGAAATCATGTAATGACGTGAAGACATCAGAAAACCTGGCTTGGTTACTGTGAGGGTGGGGACTGTTTGCAATGCAGTGTACTTCTCGTAACCTGATAGAGACACAGAGACCAGCCGTCGTGAGGTAGTGCTTTTATGACCCGACTACTTTTCGAGGTTTTCTCTTCGATAAATACTGCTTCAAAGACCGTTCACAACATCAAGATCACGGCTGCTGTTTGCAGTTCATGCTAGCCTTTCTCACTAACCATAAATGTTTTAGTGCGCCTGAACTGAGGAACGACTCGTCATCCTTCCCCTCAGACCTCTTCCAACGCCTCATCACACCACGAGTCCACACAGCCCTATGAAGAAAATCCTGTTTCCTGTACTTTAACAGTTTGTGAGGAGAATTCGGAGATGGGATTTTCACATCATAACTTCAATATTTGCGTCCGCTGACGTCAAACATTGTCTCACTTTTCTCGGGCCCACCAGTCTGTCACTAGCCTTCATCAGTGGATCACTGACCTGGCAGTTGACCATATGCAACCCTCGCAGCAGCATTATTGTTCAGACTCCAATTCTGGAGATACGCTATTATAGCCCGAAACCCATATATCAAGTGGCAAGACAGATGCTCCACACAAGAACCGAGTCTGCGATACTGAGTCTGCTACAACTGGTGGTTTCAACAGAATACCACCGGAATACCACATGGAAGTATTTTTTTTTCTATTCAAGCAGACTGATAGAATCGCCATTGTGCATTCTGTTCTTCAGTAGAAGATGCTCCCCAGGAAAATTAGATTTTACCGGGAATGCATATGTGGCCAAAGCATTCATTGGTTAGTATGAGAAACTCGAACAATGAGCCTGCGGCATCTTCCGTATTTTCTAAGTATGTTCATGTGGCTGATCTAGACAGACAACCATGAGTCAGTTGCCCCTGAGGTCCCGTCTCCACTCGTTACTGTACATTTGCCGCGGTTGCCGCGCGCTGTTACCACAACGAATTGCTTACAGCAAAACCTCCCTACTCAGCTTTTGCCACTGGGTAGCTGTGGCTTATTTTGACATGACCGAACTACGGTTTCACCATGCTACTGGGACGCGAAAGGCGCCGGCTTTGGCGCCGGCTTTAGCGCCGTGCTCGCGTAAATACCGCGTCTTTCGGAGGCCGAACTGGCAAATGTCTTTTGGTAAGCTTAACTACCAATCCATCTCTATCAAGTTAGCCACTCCAGTATTGCTCGTCACATGTATTCCCTGGATGAATTCATGGCGCTACGTGAGCGTCGTTCTGCACTGATTAC